ATTTCCTATTTCTGCTGTAATAAATTACCACACATTTAATCGCTTAAAACAAAATAATTGTTTTTATTGTAATGTTGCTTTACAATGTTGTGTTAATTTCTGCTGTATAGGAAAGTGATTCAGTTATATATATATTATATACTTTTTAATATTCCTTTCCATTATGGTTTATCACAGGGTACTGTATCTTTGAACTATAGTTTTGTCCCAGTATAGCCCAGGAGTGGGATTGCTGGTTCATGTGGCAACTCTAATTTTTAGTTTTTTTTTTTTAAAACCTGCATACTGTTTTCCATAGTGGCTACACCAACTTAACATTCCCACCAACAGTGTAAGAGGGCTCCCTTTTCTCCACACCCTCTCCAGCATTGGTTACACAGATTTATTATCTTAACAGTTCTGGAGGCCAGAAGTCTGATTTGAGTGTCACTGGGATAAAATCAAGTTGTCCATAGGTCTGCCTTCCTTTCTGCAGCCTCTAGGGGATACTCTATTTCCTTGCCTTTTTTACTGCTTCTGGAGTTTGGCTAATTTCTTGTGTTGTGGCCCCCTTCAGTCTTCAAAGTCAGCAACAGCAGGTCAAATTCTTCTTGTATCTTAGTTCTCCTCAAATCTATATATGCAATATATAATCAAACTGAAACTTAAACATCAAAATATAATCTGATAGAAATTTCATCAGTCATTTTCAAGTGTTCCTCAGAATTACTTACATATGTTGAGAATCCAGAACAATCAAGACAAACTTGAAAGCAAAGATGAAGAACATCACTACCTAATTTTAAGACTCGCTATCAAGCTGTAGTGATTAAGACAATATGGTATTGGCATAAGGATAGACAACTTATCAGTTTAACAGAATACAGTAACATAAAAACAGGAGTTGAGTTTGACAGTAATACCACAGCAATTTACTTACTTGAAAAATCTCATCTGTTGCTGCTGAGGGCCAGCAAGACGACTTTGCCCAATTATAGCATCTATTTCTCATCAACGATGGACTGGAACCATGCTAGTTTGCTAATTCTATAGGAGGAAAGATTGACAGTGTATGAGTTAAATTCCTCTTCTTTGACAATGGTTTTGTGGCATATGTTGAGTGAGTGGTTATTTTTTGCATGTTTTCTCCTTGGTAATTGTGTGACAGTTAATTGTTACTCTATTTGCCAAAGCAATTTACCACTAGAAAGTCGTTTAAATAAGGCTGGAACAAATAGATATCTTTCTGGAAAAAAAATGAGCCTTGATGTCTATTTCACACTAGAAACAAAAACATTAATTTGGTAGATGATGCGTATTAAAAAGATTGACAAGACCAAGTATTGAGGCAGAACATTGGACCTCTTATAGGCTGTTGGTGAGAGTGTAAAAGTGTGTCTGTCTTTTCTTCCTCAGTTCTTATAACCACTTAAACTAGGGCAAGAGAGTGCAGGGGTGCCCACGTTCAGATGGCTGGGAATTCATGAGAAATATGATAGTGATAGGTATGTGCTCAGCAGGATTCTTGGTTGCCTGTGGCCCAACTTGATTCTGCATAAACCAAGGAAGATAAACACATTGTTTCAGGTAACAATACCTTAGTGGGCTAATGTCTGGCTCAACTACAGCCACATACTTCAAACCATCTCTGTAGAAATCACCCTCTCTACTCCTTTCCCCTGGGGTGGCTTCATTTTCAGACAGACCTCGGTCATTGTGGCCACAGGCAGCTGTGGGATTTGTTGGACCCAGCTACTGAGCCTTGTACCCCGGGTTGTCCTTGACTGAGGCCCCGCCTAACCTGATCTTCAGAACCACCATGAGGCCTCCGTCAGGTCCGCCCTGGGGCTGAGAGTGAGGGTGCTGTGGCTCCTCCTCAGAAGAGGCACTCACTAGAAAAAGGGGAAATGGGTGCTAGTCTTGCGAAACAGCCTGTTTTTCTCTGTGTTTTGTCTATTTAATGTTTATTTCTCTGACTCCAGGAGCTGTGTCCCAGGCCCTTGCTAGAGTCTGGGAGTATAAAGGTGAATTGTTGATGAACTCAGAGCAGATCTGTAGCCTGGCATTGAAAACTCAGTGATGTGTTTGGTCTCATCTTTGTTTTGTTCATTAGCTTTGTTCTTTTCCAGCCACTTTGTGCTCGCGTATTTGAATTTCTGGTATGTCCGTCCTTGGCTTTGGCTTACCATTACTGTTCCTTCCCCCAGAATGCCCTGGGTCTGCAATATGCCCACCCCTCATACCTCAGCATGGTTCCGTTCTGCCCCTCTTCCCAGGCCTGGCTCAAACACCACCTCTTTCAGAAGCCTTCTCTGAGATATTTTGACCTTCATTATTTTCTCCTCTTTGCTTTTGCCTTTTGTTCTGCTCATAGCTTATCTTAGCTCTCATGTGCTTGTGTGAGCCTCCAGGAGATCTTCCCAGCCCAGGAATGAAACCCACGTCTCCTGTATTGGCAGGAGGATTCTTTACCACTGAGCCACCTGGAAAGCCCTGTCTTAGCTTTAAGTTCCTTCAGTTCTAAGGATTCTGATAGCACCTGGCAAAGTGCTGGGCATAAAGTAGGCTTAATACAGAATGGGTAGTTATTGTACTCCTGAGAATTTTGGAATTCTCTGTTGCAGTCCTTAAATTGTTCAGCAATACCAGATGTTTTGTTTAACATTTCGTAACATGTAAGTTACTTCGAAGTAACTTGCTGCTTCCTAGTCACTCTTTGATGTAGCTTCATCACCTGTGATGTGGTGTATTCAACCTTCTTACACAGATGCAGTCAGAATGGTAGTGTTGGCGGTCATGTCTGCTTGTAGGTCTTTTTAAGCATCCATTTTGACTAGAAGCAGAAATACCCAGTCTAGTCCCCCACCCCCCACACCGCATCCAGTGATCCTTTATTGGCATGCATTTAGTAGAGCAGTGCTCAAATTTCAGGGTGCATCAGAATCATCTAGAGAGTATTTTAAAGCATGAATTGCTACCCGTCACCTCCAGAGTTTCTCATCCGGTCGTTCTGGGGTGGGCTGAAGACTTGCCTTGCTAACAGCTGCTCAGGCGGTGCTAGTGCTGCTGGTCTGCGAAGCTACACTTTGAGGACCAGTTTCTAGTAGTAGATTTAACCCTTGGGGGCTTTGCCGTAGCTCAGTTGATAAAGAATCCATCTGCAATGCAGGAGACCTGGATTGAGAAGATGCCCTGGAGAAGGAAATAGCAACCCATTCCAGTATTCTTGCCTGGGAAATCCCATGGATAAAGGAGCCTGGCAGCCTACAGTCCATGGGGTTGCAAAGAGACGGACATGAGAAAGTGACTAACATAGGCACAGAAGGATTTAACCCTCATTGCAGTCAGTCACCGAAGGTGCTTGCACCGCCTTGAGTGCTTTTTAATAACTATCCTTTGCTTAGTTAAATGAAAGCATTAGGAATCTCTGCTACAGCAGGTGTTAGCAGGATCTTATGAGTGTTTCAACAGAATCAGCTACATAACAAATAAAGACAAAATTCCTTTACACCACATTTCCATAGCACTTGTGTGATGTATGTGGTACCTGTGCGTTGTTGGAAGTATTGACCAGCTCTGGTTAGATAGTTTTAATTCGTGAAAACATGCATATATATATTTCTTGGCCAGTTCCCATAATTTTTCAAAATCTGGTTTCTTGTCTTTAATATGACATTAAAAACACCTTTCTCTTATTTTGCAATCATCATTGCAAGAGGTGTGCTGAATCTTAGGAGTAGGGCAAGTTTCATGAAAATTACTTGTTTGGTCCTGAGGTGTCTCCTGTAGATTGCTTACTAGAGGAGAGAGGGGGACGGTGACTACTGTGGAGAACTTGGTTGGCACTTTTACTGGGTGGTGAAAATTAACGTCATGCGTGAAGAGAAGATGAGCATCTCCTGTCTAAATGAAGCACGTGCAACCTGCAAGGACACCACATGCTTATTCAGCACTCTAGTAACGTGTAGCTGCAGTCTCCGCATAAGGAAACATCAGACAGACCCAGTGAGGAACAGTCTGTTTTTTTTATAATGGGTTTGCATTCTTCATTGTCAGCGTCATAAAAGATAAAGATTGAGGAACTGTTCCGTAATAAGAAAAACGATAGCAGAAAGCAGCGTGTGATTCTAAACTGGATCTGTACTGAAGTGGAAAAAGTATAATAACAGTGTTGGGTCGGGAGACAAGTTGGAATATGTATGGTAGACTCGATAAAAAGTATGGTATCAATTTCGAATTTCCTGAGATTGATACCGTGGTTAGGTAAGATAATCTCCTTATTCTTAGGAAACACACTGTACTATTTAAGTGAAAGTCACTCAGTCGCGTCCGACTCTTTGCAGCCCCATGGACTATGCAGTCTATGGAATTCTCCAGTCCAGAATACTGGAGTGGGTAGCCTTTCCCTTCTCCAGGGGATCTTCCCAACTCAGGGATCGAACCCAGGTCTCCTGCGTAGCAGGTGGATTCTTTACCAGCTGAGCACCAGGGAAGCCCAAGTACTATTTAAAGGTAAAAATAAATGATGTGTGTGTCATGTAAGCTCAAGTGAGAAAAATGTGGGAGAGGGAGAGAGAGCAAGCAAATAATAAAGTAAATGGGGGCAAGGGTACAGGTGTTCTTTGTAATTTTCATTGTGACTTTTTGGAAGTTTGAATTTATTCCCAAATAAAAAGTTTTTTTTTAAAAAGTAGAAGACAAGCAAGCTCTGCTTTCATTTCAGGGTAATTGTAAAAAATTTTTAAATCTGTATAAAAATGTTCTCAGGGAGCAGAGTGCTTTGCAGGTGATGGTTCTTGTGCTGCCTTGTCTGGGGGCCTTATCTCTCGCTGTAGAGGAGCTCTCAGGAGATAGCGCCCGAGAGCCTGCAGGGGCTCGGCCTCACCCCAGTTGTGATATCCAGCCGCCTGCAACCCGGCAGCTTCTGGTGTCTTGCACAGTGCTTCCAATAAGGCACCCTAAACTAATGTCTTTTATTATGGATTGTACCTTCAGCTTTGAAAAGTATATTTTTCTTTCAGCTCAAAATGGGGTTAATCCTGACTGGGAGAAGAAAGTAATAGAATATTTTAAGGAAAAGCTGAAGGAGAATAATGCTCCTAAATGGGTAAGCTTCTTATTGCTGTTTGCTGGGGGTGGGTGGGCGGGTGAGGGTTGGGCAGACTTCCAATTTCTCACAGTAATGATCCACATATAACTTAAAAAATATATAAATTAACGTGTACCGCCCTCTGCCTTAAGTGCATATGTATTAAAAAATTTTGGTCTCTTGCAACTTAAATTCAAGCAAATAAATGCTTCTATACCGGCACCTCTAGGTGGCAGTAACTGACCGTGGGAAAAAAAGGTAGCTGTGAGCGCTTCGATGATCTTTTATTACCTTCATTTTAAAGAATTACTTGTACAAGTTTTAAGAGAAGAGCTCAACAAAGCAAATGCCTTTCTGCTAAGCAGAAAGTGTTCTGAAGGAAAAGCATTCTTTTACATTATAATCAAATGTGATCGTACGAATTGAACTTGCAAGAACGCAGAAAGGACTTTTGTTCAGCAGTTGTGTCGTTGACTGTTGAAATCATTTGGCTCCCTGATAGGGCTTGATTTTGTGTGTGGGGTGGTGGGTGGGTAGGTGGGGAATGGCAGTTTGTCTGGATATATATGTGTATGTGCTTAATGTTTTATACACAGACTATCTTGACTTGATTGTTTTCCTTTAAGGTCCCATCACTGAATGAAGTTCCTCTTCATTATTTGAAACCTAACAGTTTTGTGAAGTTTCGTTGCATGGTTCAGGATATGTTTGACCCTGAATTTTATATGGGAGTTTATGAAACTGTTAACCGAAACACAAAAGCACGTGTATGTATTGCTTTTTTCATGAAACTTAGTGTTTACAATTAGTAGGATTAGCTTTGTCCTTGTGTTGTCTATGGCAGTTTTGACTCTGATATGTTGATATAATACTCTTATTTTTGTTTTGGTCATAGGTTCTTCATTTTGGAAAATACAGAGATGTAGCAGAGTGTGGGGTATGTATACTTAAAATATATAAAAAACTTTTTAATGAGCATTTTTCCTTGGCCAGAGAATATTATTTTCCTTTGGTTGACCATAAATTTACTTATCTTGTATATAAGTTCTAAGAAGTCAATGTGAAATGTTTTGTTTATTTGCCTTTTACTTGAGTTTCTCTGATATGATTTTTTTTGATCTTCTAAAAATGCCTTAGAAGGTGGAATATTGTAAATGACAAAGTTAATTCCTTTCTTTTCCTAATATCTGTACTGTATACTTGCTTTTAAAAATTACTTATAAGTTCTTTTAAAATGAGAAGTAGAAGAAAAATGAAAGACTATTGCTTTAGGGCTTTGCATGCGCTTAATTTTTTTTATACCTTTTTTTTTTTTTTTCGGCCATGCTGCACAGCATGTGAGATCTTAGTTCCCTGGCCAGGGATCAAATCTACACCTCCTACATTGGTAGCAAGGAGTCCTAACCCCTGAACTGCCAGGGAGGCCCCTACACGTGCTTAATTATGTTTGATTAAATCCTGCCCTCTTTTCCTGGGAAGAAAAAAGTAAACTTAAGACGCCTTTGATAAAAGGAAGTAATAGAAACTCTCGTACATATCAATAATGGGAAAGGGAAGAAGAAAAAAGACAAAATCCTGGAATAAATATTCTAACTCAGCAGACTGATCTGTATGAAAGAATGGCCCTAATTAGGAAGGTTTCTGTGGAGAGAGAAATATAACTTCCTACACTTAGAGTAATGGACTTGTGCAAGATGAATTCGTTTAATCTTTTGATGACCTCCAGGTCTCCCAGTGTCTTTTTTCTTCTAAGGGTGTTTCCATGACATATTAATACATTGTTGTGCTGAGTCTAATGAATCAACTTTATAAATGTTTCCTGCATTCCTGTTTATGGAGCCCTAAGTTATATTAGGCTGATAAATTAATACATAATTTTTCTTCTAGTACACGATAATGCAGTGTCTCTCTAACTAACTAAGTAGTCTCAACAGCTGGAAATGGGAAAATAAAAGAGATGAGGGTGTCCATCTGTGATACTCCAAAGGCAAAGAGTTTGTGCTGTGTTTCTGAAGAGTCATAAGTAAGAACACCACGCCAGGAAAAGGGGTCTTTGGCCATGGAAAGAAAGAAACAAAAGCCACCTTGCTTGTACATACCATCACAGACTCAATTGATATCTCTGGAATACTTTCTTTTCTTTCTTTGTTTTTCTCTTACAGGATAGAATATAGATTTTGTTTACTTGTAAGGGATTTTTTTTTGTACTATAGAAGTAATATGAGTAATATTACATCTTGGGTCCTCTACCTATCTGTGCTTAAGACTTTCTAAGTATATTTGAAACAGAGAATATGCCTTTTGTAAGGAATAATATCTGATTTTTAAATCTCATCTCAGAGCAGCCTCGTAAGAAGTATTTCATTAAATTCCTATTTGATAGACTAATGCTAATAGCATTCCTGTGAGAGAGACAGTGGAATTACCATGGGTGTTGTCTTTGAAAAAACTTTAACAAAACTTTATTTTAGGGATTTAATTTTGTAACGTAGGGTATTATGTATTTTGGATTTGAAGGAAGGTACAGTATTAATTGGGCTTCCCTGGTGGCTCAGATGGTAAAGAATCCACCTGAAGTGCAGGAGACTTGCATTCAGTCCTTAGATTGGGAAGATCCCCTGGAGGAGGGCATGGCAACCCACTCCAGTATTCCTGCCTGGAGAATCCTCATGGACAGAGCAGCCTGGCAGGCTACGGTCCATGGGGTCTCAGAGTCGGACACAACTGAGCAAGAGTTTGTGCTGTGTTGCTGAAGAGTCGTAAGTAAGAGCGCCATACCGGGAAAAGGGGACTTTGGCCCCGGGAGGAGAGAAAGAAAGAAACAAAAGCCACCTTGCTTATGCATACCATCTCAGGCTGTACACACTGTATTGATTATTGCATTTGAAGTGATTTTATGTCAGTTTTCTTTTCAAAATTGATAGTTTGGATTTAGTAGTTGCTTGTTAGTTAACTCAATATGAAGTATTTACTGTGATTTATAAACAACCTGAAAACATGGTTGCTAATTTTTTTAAGTTTTTTAATAAAATTATTAAAAATAAAATTTTGTGAACATCACAGCCTCAGCAAGAAGTTGATTTAAACTCTCCACGAACTACTACTTTGGAGAGGCAGACATTCTACTGTGTTCCAGTGCCTGGAGAATCTACATGGGTAAAAGAAATATCCTTTATCTGAACCTTCTTATGTGTTGAATGCTTTCTGATAATTTTCTTAATTGAAGAGACCACAATTCACTTTTTTTTTTTTTAACTTAGTCTTTTTACCTCAATGAAGTTAGCTGGAAAAAATAATTTTTTTATTCTGGGTTTATTTTTTTTTTTTTTTAATATATTGAGGTGTAGTTGGTTTACAATAGTGTGTTTCAGGTACAACATAATGATTCAGAAATTTTGATAGATTTTACTTCATTCACATTTATTATAAAATATTGCCTGTATTTGTGGTGCTATGCAATATATCCTTGTAGCTTATTTTTTGTATACATCAGCCTTCTTTTAAAAAAATATTTTTATTTTAACCAAGCTACCAAAGTAGTAAGTAGTCTTTTATTAGTTATAGAGGTAGCATAATTTTAGGATAGTGTCCAGGTCATGGAAATCTTTCTTTAACCCTTCATGTAACGCCTATGTTAATGCCAACCAAGCTCGAGTCAGTCCTTCAACATCTTACACTCCCAGCCGTCACAAGAGGAGCTATGAAGATGACGAAGATATGGATCTGCAGCCCAATAAACAGAAAGACCAGCATACGGGTGCCAGACAAGCAGGTAGCGTGTGCCATCCCGCTTCCTGGAGACTGCTCTCTGGCAGTGGATTCGTATTCAGAATTCAGAGTTCTGTAATGTAGCTGTAGGTTTAGGAGCTGGCAGTGATTTGACAACTTTGCTTTCAGGTTTAGCAGAATTACAGACAGTTCTGAGAGTTGTAACAGTGACTCTGCTCAGTCTGTGCGTCATAATTGAGCAATTAGGCATCACTGGAAGTCACCGCTCTGCTGTCAGGTGTTAAGGGTCTCAAGTTGGAAGCTAGAAAAGGGCTTTTGTGTTTCTTCATATTTTTTATCTCAGCCTTTAAGTAATATGAAAGCATGGTATTGTACTCTAAAAATGACTTATTTGTATCTGAAAACATTCTTTCTTATTTTTTTTTTGGAATAATGATGAGATTAACTTACTAAGTTAGTCTTACTTAGTAAGACTGAGCACATTGGAGGAAAAACGTGAAGTTCTGTTACGCTGAATTACTTATTCCTAAACTTTAGAGCAAATAACCCTTAGAATAGCCACAGTTCTGTTTGTTCTATTTAAGGTAGGTTTGTAGTAGTTTATATATTAAAATTTAATTAAAGTGCAAGTAATTCTGATTATACAAGGAAACCAAAAGTTAAAATTTTATAAGAGAATTTCAAAATTGGTATATATCATTATTGATTTGCCAATCACAGTTTTTTTGAGCAGTGAATTCCTTCATATGGTAGGTAGATAAGTTTGTCTTTATTTCTCCTTTTATGTCCTGTCACTTCTTAAAGGCAGAGGAGGTAACACAAATTAGTTAATTTAATCTGAAGAGTGGGTTGAGAGAACAAATATAGCAATCAATGGTAAACAAAGATTTACTACTGAGTTTCATTTAACCATAGATTATTCTACTTTATAAGTTCATATTACTGTATTTCTTTAAGCTAAGACATATTTTAATATTTTAAAAATTGGAATGTTTTACACCAAATATATACAAATGTAATAGTATTCTTTCTTTTTCTCTACTCACTCCCAAATGTTTATTAAAATTAATGGTGCATCATAACAATAACCTAAATACATATTAGAATCCAGGACATATGGTAATTCTCTTTCTTAACATTTAAGCTATTGATGCTTCTTTCTATTTCTTGCCCCTTTTGTTTGAATGTCATACTTCAGGGCTTTTGAATACATTTGAGTGAATTAGTTATGTAAAGTTTTACCTTGTTTGTGTTTTCCCTTGTGTTTCAAACAGTAAAGAATCTGCCTGCAATACAGGAGACCTGGGTTCAGTGCCTGGGTTGGGAAGATCCCCTGGAGAAGGGAATGGCAACCCACTCCAGTATTATAGCCAGGAGAATTCCACGGACAGAGGAGCCTTGAGGGCTACAGTTCATGGGGTCACAAAGACTTGGACACGACTGAGCCACTGACACTTAACCTTGTTTGTTGGTTTTTAGGCAGTCTATCAGACTATGTGTGTGTGTATATATATATGTATATATGAAGTTTTTTTGGAGATAAGTATAGATTCACATGCACTTACAAAAAAAAATAATACAGAGAGATCCTGTATATCCCTGATGCAGTTTCCAGTGGATCAACATCTTATATAACATCTTGCATAATTATAGTAGACTGTCATAACCAGGTAATGGATATTGATATGGTCCATAGACCTTGTTCAGAATTCACATTTTTACATGCACTTATTTTTGTGCATTAGTTTCATCACATATGTAGATTCATGTGACCACTGCCAAGTCAGGATACAGAACAGTTCATTACCTGGATTGCTTATGTTGCCCTTTTATAGTCACATCTACCTCTTCTGCCTCTCTGCCTCCTCCCTTGGCAACGACTAATTTGTTCTTCATCCCTATAATTTTGTCATTTATGAATGTTATATAAATGGAATCATACAGTATATAGACTTTATAGATTAGCTTTTGTCATTCAGCATAATTTCCTTGAGGTCTGTCCAAGTTGTTGCTTATATCAATAGCTTATTCTTTTTATTGCTGAGCAGTATAGTGTGGTATGGCAAGCTGTATTTTAATTCTAACTAGTTACCAGTCCTAAATTGTAACTACTTTAGGGGTACAAGCTATCTTTAAATGATCTTTGTAGCCCCAACAATTAGTCTGATTCCTGGTACATAGTGCAAGTTAATAGTTGTTTGGTAAATAAGTTTATTGCTATGCGGTTTTATTCTGCTTAGGAAGTAGAAATAAATATATCCTACCAAAGTGTTTTTGTTGTCTGTAGACCTGTATACTCATTGGGTCAAAGACGTTAAATAACCCTGTTAAATATTAACTTTTAAAGTTACTTCTAGGAGATTTGATGGGGGCGGGTGGGAATCTGTTGCTGTTTTATTGCGGGGCGGGGGCGGGGATGGGGAGTGATCACACTTCCAGATCTTCATAATCTTTGTTCCCTTTGTAGGTCAAAAGGGCTTCTAGTGTGTGTTTAAAATGGGAACGACTTGAAGTTTGCAAGCCCAGAAACATCATTTCAATCAAATGCAAAAGGCTGTTTAGGAATGTTCTTTATCTCCAGGAAGCCTTGGAAATGACGGTGTGCAATGCTGTCCCTTTGAATTTAGGGAATGGTGGTGGTCTTCAATGGTGTGGCGAGCCAAAACGCTTAGAAACTGAAGCTTCTTCTGGACAACAGCTGAGCTCCCTAAACCTCTCTTCTCCTTTTGATCTGAATTTTCCATTGCCAGGAGAGAAGGGTCCTGCATGCCTCGTGAAAGTAAGAAAGTCTTTGACGGGTCTGATGCTGACAAAGATGTGCTAAGTGTCTCAGAAATTAAAACAGAGAAGTCTTAGCATTTGTGTTAGCCAGTTTTCTCTTGCTGCTGTAACAAATCGCCACAGATTTAGGGGGCTTAAAGTAACAAAATTTATCAGCTTAGAGGCTTTAGGTCAGAAGTCCAATGTGAATCTCACTGGGGATAAAATGAAAGTGGCTGCAAGACTGGTTCCTCTCTGGAGACTCCAGGTGGCAATCTCTCTTCCAGCCTTTTCCAGCTTCTGGAGGCTTGTGACCCCTTCCTCCATCTTCCAGGTCAGCAGTAATACAGCCAGCCCTCTGACCATTTTTTCATAGTCTCATCTCCCTCTGGCCATAGGTAGGAAGGATTTTATAATTTTAAGGACATGAGTAATTAGATCGAGCTCACTCATGCAGTCCAGAGTAATCTCCCCATCTTAAGGTTCTTTAATTTATATAAGTCCCTTTTACATGTAAGGTAACATATTCAAGGATTCCAGTAAGATGTGGATATGTGTATGGCGGGGAGGGGGCATTATTTTATCTACCACAGCATTGTCTTTTTTTGAAAAATGAATATTTCAAATAGAAGTGAAAGTGTTTAAATTAATATCTATATTCTTCCTGATCATTTCTAACTTACTAATTTCTGCTTTATTTTCACCATTCTTTCTTTTCTTATCAATTAGATTTAAAATAAGGTAGAAGAAAATCTGTTAACAGTTTGTTCCCCTATCTTGCTTATTCTGGTTTTTTAATCGTGAGCAGTGAACAAGTGATACAAGTTTCAGAAATGATCAGTGAGAATTTCCATTCTTAGTTGTTATGGTTTTAAGTTAAATGGTACCTCAGCTATGCAGCATAGAAATCAGAATTAGAGTGTTTTTCCTTCTGTGCTTCTGTTAGGTCTTACCAGTAAGAGGCTGTGACAGTTTCTAATGTCCATCTTGATAGACAGCTTTGAAGGTTTGGCTCTTTATTTTGAGAAGCCTCATGGCCATTTGAAGTCTGTGTCAGTCCTAATACTGCATAGTTTGAGGTTAATACTCAGTTTTCCGCTTCTCTCGATGTAGTTAATATATTTTGAGATAATTCATGTTTCTAGTTTTAGTTCATCCCTTGGGAAAAGCTTTTTTCTGAAGTACTGGGAAAACAGACATTGGTCAGGAGTCCCGTGTTTTAGTTGTTTACTTATTTGCTAACTAGCAAAATGGCTTCAAGTAAGAGCCTTACCTCCCTTGGCCTCCATTTATCAAATAAAGGAGATGCTGTAAGGTTCATTTTCTGATTATTATTACTTCAAGGCTAATATCTTATGCTTTTTTGATGTCATTGAGTCCTAACTGTGATTTTGTGTGGCCTCTTGTTAGGTCTATGAAGACTGGGATTGTTTTAAAGTAAACGATGTTCTTGAGTTATATGGCATACTCTCTGTAGATCCTGTGCTAAGTATACTGAATAATGATGAAAGGTGAGTCTATTTTGAAATAATTTCAAACTTTGAGAAAAGTTGAAGGATGATTATATAAAGAACTCCCTTTTCCCTTCATTCAGATTTATAGGTTGTTAACAACGCGCAATTTGTTTTGTCATTCATTTGTGCTTTTTTTTTTATATACATACATTTTTATACATATGTAGTTTTGGGAAACACTTGAGAGTAAGTTGTGTATGTCATATCCTAAATACTTGCTGTGTCTGTATTTCCTGAGAACAAAGACCCTCATATATAATCAGAGTATAGCTACAAAGTCTGGAAATTTGCCGTGAGTACATAGCATGCTAAGCGCAGCCCGCGCTCAGTCTCGCTGAGTGTCTCAGCACTGTTCTTTCTGACAGTCTCCTCCTAGGTCCGGGCCCGGAGGCCCGCTCGCTGCGTTGACCTGGAGCGGCCTCCAGCTCTCAGCTGTCCTTCAGGGCCTGACACTTTTCTTTTCTCTTTTTTCCTGTCCTTCAACATAGTGACACTTCTCTCGACACTGTGAGGAAATTCATCTCTCATAGTACGGAGGCACCACGGTTGAGACACCAGCATTAATAAGGGCCTGTTTCCTGGCTTGTAGATGGCTGTCTTCTTGCTGTGTCCTCACATGGCAGAGCAGACTCACGAAACTTTTGAAGAGTACAGACCAGTTACTTTGTAGGACATCTGTCTGTTTGGGTTTATCTGATGTTTCCTTGTGATTAGATTCCAGCTCTGCATTTTGGGCAGAAAACTACAAAGTGATATATTCTTCTCAGTGCATCACGTCTGGAGGTACAGTGTCCTCTTAACTGGTGAAGTTCTTTTTGATCACTTTGTTACCTTTGGTACACACATGTACATACATATACCTTTATCATAATATGACATATGTAGGTAGCCTGAAATCTGTCATGTAACAGTTTATGACGAGGAGGAGCATTTTCTGTTCTCTCAGAAAGTACAGGTGGAACTTTGCTCGGCGTGAGTTCTCATTTCATTTTCAGAGATGGATGTTATTTTTACGTGTGTACAGCTGCTGCCTCTGTGAACTGAAGCTCTGTCATCTCTCGGCAGGGACGCCTCTTCGCTGCTGGACCCGATGGAATGCACGGACATGGCTGAGGAACAGAGGGTGCACAGTCCTCCTGCCTCCTTAGTGCCAAGAATCCATGTGGTCTTAGCCCAGAAGCTGCAGCACATCAACCCCTTACTGCCTGCTTGCCTTAACAAGGAGGAGAGCAAGACCTGTAAGTGTAAGTGCTGATGCCTCGTGACCCAGACACTCACCCGGCATGCGGGAGCTGCATTTTGTGACGCTGTCAGTCAGATGCTCAGTCATCAGGATAAGTTCCTCCAGCAGTCACCATCGCTTTGCCCATTTTCCTTTGTGTTAATTCTCTTCATTAAAATGAGCCCACCCCACCCCACCCCCGCAAAAGATACACCCCCTTGTCTTGTCTTAGCAGGTGGCATCACTTACGGGCCAGTATTTGAAGCCCCTGCTAGTTGTCTGCTGACGTGCAGTGCTTCGTCCATAGTTACTTTTTAGCCAGAGAGACGCGAGAGACCTGGTGTGTGGGCTGAATCTGGTCACCCTTCTCTCTCCAGTTGTTTCTGGTTTCATGTCCGAATTGTCTCCAGTCAGAGCAGAACTGCTTGGGTTCCTCACTCATGCCCTTCTGGGAGACAGCTTGGCCGCTGAGTACCTTATATTACATCTCATCTCTACAGTGTAAGTGCTGTGTTCCTGGGAGTTTGGTGTTTTGTTGAGAGGGACAGAGAAGAGGAATGTTTCTGAGATAATTTGTTTTGTTTATTAGGCTTCATCACCAGATGGTTTTTATTTGTTCAGTGCAACAGCTGTTACACCTAATCACAGATATTCCTTTTTTCAGCTTTTCTCAGGATCACGTGTAGCATTTTGATTGTATCTCCTTAAATTTAAGAGCTAAAACTAGGTATAGAACCTAGCTGATGAGTAAGATAAGCTGTCTTGTCACTTTGCAGTCTGTAAGTCCTCTGTTTATACATCCTGAGGCTCTGTCTGCTGTCTGCGAAGCCCATTGGCTGCACGTCTCACTTGTGATGGACGTGAGCCCCTCTATCCTCTCACCTCACTATAGCTCTTGGTTTTCCAATTTCAAAGTAACGTTGGTACCTTCAGTAAGTTCCAAGAGCATAAAGAAGAAAGCAGAAATTGTCTGTAATCTCACCACTTAGAGATGATATCAGTTAACAGACCTTGGTAGCTGATGATATCATCTTTTTTTGTTTGCATATGTATACCTCCCTACTTGGGTCTCAGTTATATTCTGAATAGGTCATTAGCTTGTTTTTATCATTAATAAATATTAAACATTCTCCCATCATAATTCTCCTTGAGCCTTTTAATGGCTGTACAGTATATTTCATTATAGACAGTTGTACTTTTCCCCTAAATGTTAGGCTTTTCTAGTTTTTCTCTGTTTAAATAACTCTGTAGTAAACATGTTTGTCCTCATAAATCTTTCCTCAGGTAGGATTTGAGACAGTAGCACATAATGGTTGAATGCATAGATACTGGAACCAAATTGGCTGTGTTCAAGTCCAGCTCTACCACTTCATGGCTGTATGAACGTGGGCATATTATTTAAAATGCCTCAGATTTCTCATCTGTAAAATGAAAATAATATTACCTACCTCAGAGTATTTGGGAATTAAATGATAAAGTACTTAACGACAGTACCTGGCATATGGTAGAAGAACAATACCAGCACTTAAGTATTGGCTATTATTTTCATTATTTCTGTTTTTTAAAAAAAAGCTGATCAGAGTAATCTGCTTTATTTTTAATGACAGTATTAAGCTAATTTTTTTTTGTTTGCTTTTGATGGAGATCAGGAAATCACCTGAGTGTCTTATTGGTTGATACCTTTTATTTTTTTCTAGATATACAAGAAGAGATGTTCTTCCACTAGGAAAATTTACGGTTAACTTGAGTGGTTGTCCACGGAATAGTACCTTCACGGAACACTTATATCGAATTATTCAACATCTGGTTCCAGCAGTAAGATCAATATAAACACGTGTTAGAAACCTAAGTACACTTTAAAAGTCCATCTAATGGTCTTTCATTCAACCCAAATATTTAACTTTTAGATTTTAATACATCTCATTAAGGGGAAACAAAGCCTGCCCGGTTTCATAATTTAAAATGTACTTACCTCTAAACATTTCACTTTTCCTTTGTTGCCTTAGCATGAATTTCTTTGAAAAACAGTTAATACAACTGTAGTAATTCCTTTAACATTGTACTCTCCTTGGATGCCAGTTCGTTTGTACAATTTGGTATCCTTTGTATGCTTTAAAATTTTAAATGTCAATTAACTGTAAATTGTAGGAGTATAATTCTTTTTAGTTGAGGAAATAACTTTATCTCTGCTGCCCAAGTTTAATTCCTGTTTGAAAGTCAAGCTAAACTTTATTTGCCAGGGCATCTGGAATGAAGTGTTTGTGTGGTGGTAGGATCTTAGGGGAATAGCTTCTGATTAGTTGTGTGCCTGGCAATGCTGATCACACCTTACTTTGGAAATTTAAGAGATTGAAGTAGGTGATTCATTCAACCAGTGTTTATTCAGTGTCTTCTGGGCCCTTAAGAAACACAGCAATAGACCAAATAGACCAGCATTCCTCACTCTCCTTGACTTACTTTACACTTAAAAAATCATTGAGGACTCAGAAAGATACTGTTTGTGTGGATTGTTTGTATCCTTAGTTTACCATGTTAGAAATTAAAAACCTACTAAGATAGTCATTGAAAACAAATCAGTTGTATATGAACATAAGTAAAATGTTTTTGTGAAAATAGCTGTTTTTCCCAAACAAAAAAAAGTATCAGTGATAAAAGAGACATTGTTTTAAATTTCTGCCAATCTCTGTAGTGTCTGGATTAATAGACCGCTGCATTGGCGTATGTTTCTGCATTCAGTCTATTGTAACATGATGTTTTGACTGAAGTATACGAAGGAAAGCTGGTCTCACACACATGAAAAAGTAGTTGGCGAAGGAAGGACTGTTTTAACAGCCTTTTCAGATAACTGTAGACGTTCTTTTTGGATATTCTGATACTGAATGAAAACTGTCCATGTGGTATTTTCTTCAAAAAGAGTTGGGAGTGTGAAATCTGAGATCTGATCAGTGATCTTTTTATGCCCTGCTGTTGTAAATTCGTTGGTCTCTCTTGCACACTGAGTGGATCTTTTATCCGGGATTTTGACCTTGTGGGACCCTGTAAACGGGTCTTAGCAAGCTTCTGGCGATATCTTTTTTTTTTTTAAAACCTCTAGGTATTTTGAGATACATATACCAATATATATCTCAGTTGTCTATGGTTTCTGGTTCACTAGTAAAATAAAAATTATTCTCCAGGAATATTGAACAGGACATTTGAGAATAAAGCAGCTCATAGAAACAGAGAAATTCTTCCTTAGAAATTTTTGTTTCTGAGAGCTCTAGAAACCATGAGCCTACTCCCTTAGAAACTGCGTAAGATCTTTCTTTCTACATAAAAGGTAGTGTTTAACTCCAAATACATATTTTCTTAAAAGAGGGAAATTCGCTAATTAGAAAACTTCTCTTTGCAGTCTTTTCGTCTACAGATGACTATCGAGAACATGAACCACTTGAAGTTCATTCCCCACAAAGACTATGCAGCCAATCGCTTGGTCAGCGGGCTCCTGCAGCTGCCCAGCAACACTTCGCTTGTAATTGATGAGACTCTCCTGGAGCAGGGGCAGCTGGACACACCAGGTGTGTGCACGGACGTTTCCCCACCATTTCTAAGTCCCAGCAAGGCCAAGCTGGGTAATAGTTTTCTAAAAATATAAGTGTGAACAAGGGCAGATTCACACTTCACAGATATTTAAGATAAAGGCTTGCTCTGTGAATTTAGTTAAAGCTTATATGTAAACAAAAAAGTTGTGTACATCAGCTATGTTTTATGATGGTATGAACAATGTACCATGATACAAGGAAGTAACATAGCTTTTTAAAGGCTGCAAGGGAGGAGGCTTTGCCTTTAGTCCTATATTATCTCAAAAGTTGTAGAACAGACCTAATAAAACATTTTTCCACCAACCAATGTGATTAAACTTTTTTTCCAAATAGTCAAAATATTTAGTAGATCAAATGGCTTGAACTAAATGTTATGGAACATGTTATGAAATTATAAGAAAGCAGATTGCTTTACATGTGCTCAAATGAGAATGCAGAAGACACTTTGCCAGTCATCATTTCAAGAGGTAAACGTAGAAAAAGCAGTGTTAGACTGGGTAGAATTAAGGCAAAAATGAGTATAAATTCATTAAAATTCAATAAACTCATCTCTGTATAAAAATCGTTTTGGTCCTGCCAGATTATTTTAGCCCTGTGAACACATCACATACAAAGTAATCTTACTCTTATTCGGAATTATTTTATGTCTAAATGCACACCAGATGCTTGATGATAAATTTGGGTGGGTGGGCGGGGAATCTTGGCTCCAAAAATATGTTTTATCTGTCTTGACAAATGTTGTCTGTGAACCCTCTTAGTTAATGGTCATTTAGAAAATTGGACAGTGCCTCTCATACTTTTTTAAAGCAGTAGAAATCTCCTGTCTTATTATCAATGTCAGCAAAACTAAGTAATAAAAATCAAGTGACTGAAAAATTATTTTCTTGCTTTTGTAGGTGTTCATAATGTGACTGCCCTGAGCAACCTAATAACTTGGCAGAAGGTGGATTATGACTTCAGCTACCACCAGATGGAATTTCCCTGCAACATTAATGTTTTTATTACTTCAGAGGGGAGATCGCTCCTGCCGGTACGAAGGGTCACTTTGAAATGGAGGGCAGTTACTGCAAAGAGATCTGGACTTTTGCTTTGTTTCTTGGCACTGCTTATTATTAATAAGCTAAACTTTGTTTCAAAATTGTGGCTGCTGATTATTAATGAGGAAATTGAATATTTTGGTTCTCTGGGATGAACACCTCGTATCTAGAAAGAAAATCACAAGGTAAGGAGAGAAAGCTGTTGGCAGCAGAAACCCCCACATGTGGGGAGAGAAAGCAGAAGCTGTCTGTAAATTGCCTGATTAACATCCAGACCTTGGTTCTTGTTGCCTCTGTTCCACTGTTTTCTGCCAATCTTTCGTGAGAAATATTTGAGAGTTCCATTTAGAATGTTGCTAATCAGCCTGGTAGTTACTTCAGCGCTTCATGGAAGAGCACTTTTACCTTTGAGTCTTTTTATGATGAGAAATTATGCCCAGTTGCTTGAAAGACATCTAGCAGCTCTATATAATGTGCTCACCCGTGATGTCTGAGGAACTGCCTGTGAATGAGAACAAGGTGGCCCAGTGGTGAGTTTCTGTGGTGAAAGTGTGATTTGCTTTATGTGGTGTCTAGAAATACAGTTCAGTGAGATACAGAGAACATAGTCCATGAGGAAGGAAACATCTAAAACATTTTAATTAGCCACTTTGTACAGATGCACTCTATATGCTTACTGATACCACTGAGGAAACAAAAGTAACCAAGAAAAGGCTAGCTTTGGTAATTATTGCTGGGTAGTTACAGTGCACATAAATTAATATTAAAAAGTGACATCCCCCTAATAATAAATCATATTTCCTATTTCCCTCAGGGATCTGATAGAGCTGAAGCATCCCCTGAAAATTTAGATTAATTTAGGAACTTGGAAAACGCTGTGTGCTGTTTCTCTTTTTAGGCAGACTGCCAGCTCCACTTACAGCCGCAGCTACTGCCGCCAAACATGGAGGAGTACATGAGCAGCCTTCTCTCGGCGGTGCTGCCCTCTGTCCTGAATAAATTCCGCGTCTACCTGACCCTCCTGAGGTTCCTGGATTACAGCATCTCTGATGAAATAACCAAGGTGGGTATGGGCTAAAACAAAGGATTTCTCTGTCTTAATTGGAGTAATCAATTTACATTTACTGTAATTACTGATAAGGTAATTTTGCTATGTGTTTTCTGTGTCATAATGTCTTTTGTTCCTCTGTACTGTCTTTTGTTTGAAATAGATATTACTAGTGTACAACTTTAATTTTGTCTTCTATGATACAAATTTTTTTTTGTTAGTAGTTGCCTTGGGAGCTATTAACATCTTAATTATGATAATCTGGGATTAATTTAGGATTAATGCCAGTTTACTTAGAATAGTATGCAAAAGCTTTAATCCTTCATAATTCCATTCCTTCCTTTGTGCTTTTATTATCATTCAGATTACCTCTTTATATTGTATGTCTGTCAACACATTTATAATTATTGCTTTATGCAGTTGTCTGTAAAGACATTTATACTACCTTTTGTATTTACCTGTGTGAATACCCTTACCAGTGATCTTCACATGGATTCAAGTTACTTTCACTTCAGCCTGGAGAATTTTTATATTTCTCAGGGTTTTTCTATAAGGGAGATATGCTTGTGACAAATTCTGAGTTTTTGCTTATCTGGGAATGTCTTAATTTCTCCTTAATTTTTGAAAGTCAACTTAAATATGCTGGGTGTGGAATTCTTAGTTCATAGGCTTGTTCTTTCAGCACCTTGAGTAATTCCTCCAGTTACCTTTTGGACTTTGTGATAAGAAGTCAGTTTCCAGTGAGAGGATTCTTTGTACATTACTGAGTCATTTTTCTCTTATCATTTGAAGATTCTCTCTGACTTTTGACCGTTGAGCTGTGATGTGTCTAGATGTGGATCTCTGAGTTTATCTTACTTGCAGTTTATTGAGTTTTTTGGATATGCAGATTAATGCGCATTTGGGGGAAGTTTTCAAGACATTTGTTAAAATTTGACCGTTATTTAAGTTTCTTCCTTCCCCTTTCTCCCTCCTCCCTGGGATTTCCAGGTATGAATGTGGTACACCGATGGGGTCCCACAGGTCTTTGAGACTCTGTTCAGACAAACTTGGTCATCCTGTCTACAGATACTCTGAATCTGCTGCCAGTTAAATTCTGCTGTTGAGCCTTTCAAGTGAATTTTTAATTTAAGGTGTATTTTTCAACTTCAGAATCTGTTTTTAAAATAATTTCTCTTTATTGATATTTTCTATTTGATATCATTCTCATGCCTTCAGTTCTTTATTCCTGGCTCTCTTTAGTTCTTTGAATATATTTAAAATAGCTGATTTAAGGTCTTCGTGTAGTAACTCCAATGTTTAGGTTTCCTCAAGACTCCCATGAAGCGGGCCAGGCATTCTTGTTTCTTTGTTATGTCTTCCAGTTTTTGTATTGAAAGCCTGGTGCTTTAAATAATATAATCTGGCACCTCTGCTCTGGCAGATTCTCCCCTGCCTTAGGGTTTGTCATTACTGTTTGTTGTTTAGTGACTTTTCTGAATTGATTTCTAAAAGTCTGTATTCTTAGTTGTATGTGGGCACAGAAGTCTCCCTCGGTTAGTTCAGTGGTCAGTGATTGGAGAGAAATTTAATTTCCTTAGAGGCCTGCAAGCAGTCTCCCAGTATAAGCCAAGGGCCTCTGTGTCCATGGTGGGGCAAATCTTCAGCGCTCAGCCATGCAGTTTACAGCTCTGCCCTAGCCTTTGCTTTCTGCTCGCACAGAACCTCAAGGCTGCTGAGGAAAGAGCTTATGGCCTGCCTGCTCAGGCTCAGATCTCCTGAGCACATGCACAGCCCTGTCACGTGTATGGCCTTGTAAATTCCTGGTGGTCAGGGGATGTACAGACATTTCATGCCTCGATTTTCTTTTTTGATGGTTTTGGTTAGCCTGCTGTTTGCCCCATCTACTACCCAGTGTCTGGGGCAGCTGAGGTGGTTGATAACTGCTTCTGATTGTTTCTGCTAAACAGTCAGTGGGGGGTGGGGTGGGGTGCAGGGAGACAAGCTGTTCACATTGAACAAGCTCCCAGTCGGGTGAAGTAAAGACAGTAAGGCAATTATTCTTCAATTAAAAAAAAAAAAAAGACAGCCTCGCGAATGTGTTCTTCCTAGGAACCACCAGGCAGTCAGGTGATGACAGTTCTCTGGGAATGGTGCTTTGACAGAGCTCCAGCCACACCAGCCTCTCCAGTGGCTGCCAGACTTCACGGCTGCTTGGAGATGGGGAGGGAGTAGGGCAAATGTAAATGCCTCAAAGCACAATGTCCTTTGGTCTTTCTCCAAGAAAATGCTCCCCAGTTTGTTTCAGGGATCTGGTTAATTTCTAGTGTTGAAGGAGCTGATTGTCATCATTTTTGCGCACGTTCTTGTTCTCTTTAATGGTGGGGGAGTTTTCAGAGGTTCTGACTTGGCCAGTTTTGCTGACATCTCTCTTCCCTGTATTTAAAGGCATCATGTTTTGCTATGCAAATTGCTGGCTTGTATCTGTCTGTCTGACCTTCTCAAATGAGTCTTGAGTTTTGTTATTTTGTTTCCAGTACTCTCCTCAGTGGTATAATTTAGGTGTCAAGTTTGGGTTTTGGTCCTTTTAACCATACTGTCTCATTTGCCCAAGGTGCAGGGCTGACCTTATTTTCACATCAGGCAAGGACCATCTTACTTTAGCTTGGTAAAGAATCCTTTTCCCTACAAAATGCAAATATCATTTCCTCATAAGGAATAACTTCAAAGTTCATTTACTGTTTTGATAAAGGCAGTTGAAGATGACTTTGTGGAGATGCGCAAGAACGATCCTCAGAGCATCACTGCTGACGATCTCCACCAGTTACTCATCGTAGCTCGGTGAGTCAGCCCCTGTCCACTGTTGCCTTTTCAGCGACTTGTGGCTAATTCTCCTTATTTAGGACAAACTGAGGCAGACTTACAAAAATGAAATGAACTGTTCCCTTCTAAAAACCCCCTTGTGAAATGGCTCACGGAGGGGGAATTACATTTGGCCAGAGATCACCTCAGTGGACAAGGCATGCTCCTTGTTCTCCACTCAAAGGGAAGAAAGTGAAAGTATTAGCCACGCAGTTGTGTCTGACTCTTTGCGACCCCGTGGACTGTAGCCTGCCAGCCTGCTCTATCCATGGAATTCTCCAGGCAAGAACACCAGAGTGGGTAGCCATTCTCTTCTCCAGAGGATCTTCCTGACCCAGGGATCGAACGCTAGTCTCCTGCACTGTGGGCAGGTTCTTCACCATCTGAGCCACCAGGAGCCCCACTCAGAGGGACTCGCCCTCCCAATTGACTCTGAAAGGAGTCCTCTGTGAAAGTCTTAACTTGGCTGTTGAGTTGGGTAGCTAACAGGTGGTCTTGTCTCCCACAACATTTTTCTAAAAACCTCTAAACCAACAGTTTTTTTTTAAAGGCCTTATTCTAGGTCTAGAGTCTAATTTGTTTCCGTATTTCAAACCAGGTTTCTGTCTCTGAGTGCTGGTCAGACTACGCTGTCAAGAGAACGATGGCTAAGGGCCAAGCAGCTGGAGTCTTTAAGAAGAGCCAGGCTTCAACAGCAGAAATGTGTCAACGGAAATGAACTTTAAAGGTCTGACATCTATTAAAGAGTAATGGGCAAATTGTAGCCACATTATTGTAAAATTCAAATACCATTTATATCACATTGTTTTGTAGATAATTTGTATCAAAGAAACCTATGACTTTTCCTGAAATCATGCCTGGTAACATCTAAAGTTTATATAATATTCAGTAAGGGCTTTTACCTTACTGATTTTATGGAGCTTTTGAATTTTGTTTTATAATTATATAAATTAGTAACAATGTATAAAAATGTATTTGATATTAAAAATTTAATATTGATAATGTTGCTGATATACCATTTCCTTAGTTTCCTTAGCTTCAGCCAAGTCATAGGCCAGACTCTGTTGAAATAAGAAATGTGAATATCATTTGAAGAAAACTGTTTCAATTCCAAAGTCACAGGAATTGTTCACTTCAGATTTTTGTCTCTCCAATGAACAGTGGGTCTGAATATGTATAGTGGTCCAAGTTTGGGGAATGGAGCATACTTGCCATTAATTCACATATGTAGTATCATTTCCCAGACATTTGACCACACCTTTTTTCCATTTATTTAATAGTTGTTAACAACATGCAAAGCAAGTCTTTAAATGGCAGTGGTTCCCGGACTTTTGGGTTTCATGGACCAGTAACATTTCCAAAAATTGTGGGGGATTGAGAGTTGCCAATTTATTTTGCCAAGTAGTCTGAAAGAAGTCACTGTATTATTACCTTTTTTTCCCTATAAAAGAGCAGTCTCAGAACAAGAGAGAGTCCTTTAAATGGAATAAATGTAGCTTTTTTGGAAGGGAAAAAACCCCACTATAATTGTCCTTATTTTTCTCATTTCACTCCAGTGCATTTGGGAACCACTGTTTATGGCACTCACTTAAAGGGAATGCTGCCTGCCCTGTGAAGTTGTTTTGCCCAAAGAGAAAGAGAACAAAATAATTTAACTTTTTAAAAAAATGCCTTCTTCAGGAAAAAATGGGTTTTTATTCTTTTCCTAATAAATGTCATTTAGTTGCTTTGATGATTACCTTGCATTTTGAACTTCTTATGTTTATCCATTAGTTCCAGATGTATTAGATCAACTAACATTATCTGCTAGTCCAAGAATGCCCTGATAAAATTGTATGTAGGTAGGTTATCACCAAATTACAGTTTTAACAAATTTTTAAAGGAACAAAAATATTATCCATAACTAAAGCAAATTGATACAGCGTAGTAGTTTAATTGTGGCATCCAGAATCTTTGGAAAGGTTAGAACATTACTTTTTTAAGCTACCACTGGTTACATATAAAAATTAGTTTCTTTAGTCAGTAACATAGAACATTAGAAATCAGTTAAATGATTACTTAAATTTGGCATCCCCCTGGTCCGAGGCCTAAACTAAGAAAACAGGGTCAGCCTTGAAAATGGAGCAATCTGCTATGCCTCATGAACTGAAGTGGAAATTATTCTTTAACTTTTCCTAAACTCAAATCTATTTTTATAAACTAATGTAAATAACCTGTTTATACTTAGAATTCTAATTGGTTTTCATTTTTATAACTGGTAGACTAGACTTTCCTTAAACTTTTAGGAATAAAGGCTCAGCTGGACTTGTGAGAATAAACTTCAACAGAGTAGATTAGTCACCTTGTGTTTACTGCGCCAATGTGGACTGTAATTTACCAAAGAGAAGTGCATCATTTGCCTGGTCTTACAGCAAAGTTCCCCTGAAAGGAAAACCCTCTTTCAAATAAATAAAATTACCAGACTACTAGTACTTTGGGCTGTTTTTCATGAATTATGAGACTCGCCCTATGTGATCTTCTGTGTGGAAAATCATTACCAGAGATAAACTTCAGTATGAGATGATACAGCATGGTGTCCCCCGCTCTGAGGGCCCACTCAGGTAAGAGATTGGTACTCTGGGCTTCAGAAGTCCTTTTCTCCATGGGGACAGTTTGTTGATCTAATGAAATATTAACCTGATTTGAAACACATGGAAACTGAATAGGCATCTATATTACCCTGACTGGATTTAAACATCACCTACTTAATTTTAGTTTTCAAAAATCTCTGTGGAATTAATTTCCTTGGAGCTTAAAATACATTTTTATCACCTGACCTTGACTTTATTTTCTCTCATGTTGTAGGACACCTTAATAGTTTCAAGAAAAGATGGTAAAAGAGTTCATGTTCAGTTTTGATGTTCAGCTTTTAAAATCATAACACTTTTAAGAATGAAGTATTTGGAAAGGCTGGGACAAAGAGTTTCAGTTATAGCTAACTTAGTAACCTTTGCTTCTGAGTTCTTCAGTCTGACTTATATCAAACCCTTATCTTCAAAATGTTATTCAAGGAATTCTCATACACATTGTCTTAATGATATTTTATTTTAAATAGTCACAACATCTGACACTTCAAAAAAAGATACCACTAATAAATAACAAAAGTGGAAATACTTATCAAAGTTAAAACAGACATAATGTTTAGCTGAGAATCACTTCAACAGAGTAAGGCTGTAAAGATACCAGACAAACCAATACTTGTTTGGAGTAGATGTGCAATTTTCTTACTGTGTGGGCTTACAGACAAGGCCCTGGTTCCACGTGGTCAATGTTACAGTCGTGCTTCAGGCTAAAATTTTCAGCAGTTTTGAGAGCCTATGCAAGATGTTATGGACTGCACCTTGCAAAAAGTTACAACTTGAAAACTTCTTTCAAGCTTTACTAGTATCCAATGTGTATATTTTTAGCATTTCTGAAGAGAGAACAAAATTAATAGGTGCTGGTATTCACATCTGATATCTCAGGTTTCATGGCAGACAGGTCTTAATGCTCTTAGACTTTGGGGTGTACAAGGTAGGAATATTTTAAACTTACTTAAGTAGGATGTAGGGGAAATTAGGATCAAACGGGCATACATTCCTTGACTCCAATGCCATTAGCCCTAACTCTATAGGGAATGGTTAAGTCATCAAAAATTAAACCAATAGTTTTTACATTAAAATGCTTCTCCATACTAGTAACACTTAAGAGTCACTAAACTAAGAATTTACCTTGTAGCGGTTAACACACAGAAATGAGCTGACAGAACAGTAACAATTGTGAACAATGCTACTCATCTAAAAGGATCCATGTCCACCCTTTGAGTCTACTTCATACATTCTACCCACCTACCCCACTCCAAAAGGTTTCATATTATTATGTCCCAAAGTAATCTATTCCTGAATTACTTGTGAAGAGACAAACTGCTCTGTAGTGTAAAAGCTACTTAGGTCCTATTCTAGGATGATGGGCTTCCACTGTCCTAGCTCTCAAATTTGGAAATCTGTTCAGGTTCAGTCTTTTAAAACCTTCCCAAATTAACGTAATTAGAATTTATGATCCCTAGATTCATATACAGTACACGCTCTGTGACACCTCTTTTTTTGAGGGGGTTAAATAAAAGCCACAGGATTCTGTGTGACTAAAAACTAAATCTGAATTATTCGTGTCTGGCATTGTGTAAACATATTTTTAAGTTCATTTTGCTGGACTTCATTAACTACTTCAGGATCTGCAGGGCTCTTCTGAACCTTTGCCACTGCAAAGTTTATCCCCTGGGTTAACCCAGCCTGCGTTATGTTAGCAACCTGGACCATAGAACTCCGAATCTTTGCAAAAGGAGAGACTGCTCTGCTGCTACAGCCCTCTGAAGGAGAAGGAGTTACATGAAGCCCTCTCTCAAGTTCAAGCGTGCCAGATTCAGAGCCGGGGGTCTTTTGAGATACAACTGAATGCACTGGTTCAACTGACAAAAACTGTGGGCCTGCTGCAGAAAAAGACACGTCTAATTGAGAAGGTCGAGAAGGTAGCTGTTCCGTCAATTCAAACTGAGTTTCTTCGCTAGAAACTTGATTGGTCATTTGACTTCCTTCCTCACTAGCTTGCTGAGAAACAGAGCTGGTTTCAGATGGCTGGGTCATTTTGTTTTGTGCATCTTGAACGAATCTGTGGCAGTAAATATCCACAGGCTTGGCAAAGCCAGTCAATGTGTGTATGTTGTCAGCAGAAGGACTTTTCTTCAAAGAAGACTCGTGGCCTTTTCCAAGCCCATTGTCATGAGCAATAGTAACCTCTGAAGGAACATGAATACTGATATCAGTGCTGCTAATAGACTGGGATCGACTGCCTAATCGAGGTGCTGAAGCAATAATACCACAACTAGGAAGAACATAGTCTATTGGCCCTACATTCTCTAAAGAGTTAGTAAGCTGCCTGTCTTCATCAGACTTGGAATTTGTAAGGAATTCATCAGAGTGATATGAGTCATTATCTGAAGACATTTCCCCTTCTGACTCTGCCTGGGCTTTATTATCCATCACACTTGTGTTTTCCATGGTTTCAAGACTACTATCTGATTTCCAAAGATTTACTTTTAAGTTTGGTTTTAGAAAGTTAACTTTCATTTCAGGTTTTGTGAAGTTTCCTAGCTTTCGTAGATTGCCAATGTTTACATTGGATTTGGTCTGTTTCACTTTTTGATTTAGAGATGAAAATTTGCTCATTAAAAATTTTTTTCCCTGGGCCAAAGAGCCTTGGTTTTGAGATCTGATGCCAATGAGGTCTTCATGAGGTTTACTGCTCTTCCTACAGATTAGAAAAGAAAAAAGTTAATTTCCCATGGAATCCAATATGGCAGTTCCAATTATTAATGTAAGTGAAAACTCAAGTTGGTCTCAATTCCTTAAAAGTAGCATACTGCTAAATGATAAATCTAGATAACTCCTTGGACTTGATGCTAGAGCATTAATGTCCAATACAAACGTGAGCTATATACAATTTTATTTGTCATTTCAACACATACTTAGTATTAAGAGATGATTAATTAGGTATCTTCATCTTTCTCAAACTGAAGTCTGAAACAGCCAATGAAGAGCATTTTATAACAGGGCAGCGGAAGCCTTTGTTAAGTGACACTGATGAGCCATCCGCAGGCACTGAGGGAACAGGTGGCATGCTATGTGACCTTAACCCCAGGCCCAGGCAAGCAGACCACTGACATCTCTCGCTTGAGCTGTCCTCTTTCTCAAGCAGGCCACGTGGGGTACTGAAACAACCCTGGAGGAACGCCGCCTCCACAGCATCTTCATCCCACCTCTTGAAGCTCTTCACAGTAACTGGATGAGCTACGGTGAGTTCTCTTGGACCAGACATTTTGTCTTTACAACTGATCCTCATTTGTGATGGCATGCTTCCTTCAACTGTTCTCCCTGGCATTCAGAGAGGAGGGGAAGCAGGGGAGGCGGCAGGGAAGCCTAATGGTAGCCTCAACCTCTGTTTTTGCATTATTCTGAGAATTTATTTCCCCAAAAACCTCACACCCCAAATTTGAACTAATCACATTTCCAAACAGCCATATGCGGTGACTCACTACAATTTGGGGGAGCACAGATCCACCACATCCACGATCTAAACCACCAGCAAAGGACTGACTATAAATGGATATTTACAGCATTTTAACTAAAGCCGGTCTACACACATTGCACTTTGCTTGAATTCAGGCAGAGAAGGGAGGGGAAGGAGCTCCATTTCCTTGTTTCCCGTGGGTTATCTGAATTTGAGAAGACTTGGGACATTTAACATAAATAACTTAGTGTTTTCTCCTTAGCCAGCCCTCCTGGCTGCAAAAAATGAGAAAAAAAGGCAGTCCTATTTACCACACGTCTCAATACACAGGTCATACAGGATCACTGGTCATGAGAATATTTCAAAAAAATCATGTTAAAGAGTTACTGAATACACTACTGCTTTTTAAAAAAGCTACTGAAATAATTATTTCTAACAGAAGACTCAACAGTTTTTCTCTAGATGACCAGCTTGTTCTTTCTAGTGAAATTTGGACCTTAAAACCTCATTAGATGGAAAACCCACAAATTTAAAATGTAAAATAATTTGTTTATACGCTTTCTTTCCCCAAATTAAAAAACCTAGTGTTTAAAACATACTGGCTGGTTATTCTCTCTCAAACGTTATTTAAATTTGAATGCTCCCTCTCAGAAGTTTTAAAACATATCACTTGTGGCCATAATTTAAACAAAAAATTACTTTTTGATCCACAAAAATATGATCCTTCCCCCTCTAAATTAATCAACACAGTATCATAATGTGATTTCTCTCCTTTTCGCAGATACTTTAAAAGAAGTAAAACTTTAATTTTCTCTGGAGAATAAAGACACTTCTGTGCAAAGTGGTATACTTACCTCTCAAGCTTTTTCTCTATTATAGGTACATCTAATCCCATGGCTTGCTTGGTGATCTGCAGCATCTCCGCAATGCACTGAAGGGTATCTGAAACCCAAATGGAATTGCTTGCCACTTTATCAAAAACATTTAAAAACTAGCAGTTCTAACTCAGAACTCTAAATGGAATTTTTAATCTTCTAATAATAGCTTGTTATAACTTACAGAAACATACTACTTGTTCTTCACTCCCCTCACTAATTCCAAATGTTCTAAAATGTTAACAGAAAACTAAATGAACAAAAGAACCAAATCAACTGGAATTAAAAGTTTATTCACAAACTCTCATCTGTCCAAACACTGTGCTAGACACCGAGACAACAGGCCCGAACAAGACAGGCGTTGTCCCTGACTATTATCCATGAGGGGGATGTGGTGGGAAAAGCCATCACACTCAAATGGCCAAACACACTGAGAATTCCCACAACAGATTCCCTTGCCCAGACTCTCATCGATTCAGTGTCCCTGCACTGCTGGGAACAAAGCTGCTATTTCAGGATCTCAAATCACAAAGCTATTTCTCCTGATCACTCACTTGTACGTACAGTCCCCAGTTCCACTTGGGCTTATAAAAGCAGGTAAGTTAGAACTGAATACTTTCATCTCTATTACCTTTTCCATCCTCTTCTGGGTTGCGCATTACAGCTCTCAGTGTGTGGAAATAGCCACTTGCTTCTTTGTATCTGTAGTGCAATCGCATGCAGGAGAACTTTGGCTTACCAAAAAGAGTGGGTTCAGGACCTAAATACCCAAATGAATATATGTTAATCTTTCACATAACATTCACTTTCTTCTGTATCTTCAAAATACTGATATTTTTTATATTATCCAAAATACTCATCTTTAAAACATTGATGATTGAGTCATCAATCATTTAGCACTTTTATTCATCTGAATAAGCACACACACTTATCATGATGACTTGGTCTAATAAGACTATAAATAAAAATTCTCAGTCTCAAATATTTAAACTTTCTAGACCCCAGGCTTGATCTTCACAGGACAAGTAATGAAAGAAACAATTATTATTAGACTAGACCCACCACTCATCTCTTAAAATATAGAAGGGAATCTTAAGAAATGGACTACTTAGACCACTCCTTTCTGATTCCAATAAGATGTTATACCAGTTGCTTAAGTAACAACCCACTCTTGGAAGAAACAGTATTTGCTTTCTATGACCTGGTTAGTATCTTAAAAATTTACCTATTTCTATTTTTTCCAGGTCTTCTAGACTTAGCCGTTGATACTGGTTTACTTTGTCAACTTCATCATCATAACTAGACAAAGGGAAAGGGAATAAGAAGAGGATTTAAATCAAAAGCACATTTGGCTGGTCAGCTGAGGCATAATAGCAACAACCATTACGCAGGTAAAGTCTTCCACAACACAATACATTCTGGGGTAAAGAGTTAAATATTTTAAAAACTAGATGAAGTGTTATATATATAATACACACACACATATATATATAGTTCAATAGCTAAATGAAAATCAGTGTATAGATCTTACACTAAAAGAAACCAATTACAAAACAAAATTAAATTCAGTTTTACAAAAGCTCTTACAAAAACTAAAACCAACAAGCCTAAAACTTAACCTAAAAGGAAAGCAAAACACATACTGAAGCTACATATTCCTGATTTGGCAGATAAATCTGATATCCCAAATAGAAAACGATCAATGCCAATAGGCACCTGGGCCAAGGACTGAAAAATGACAGTTCATATCAGACCAAAAAGAAAGTGACTGTGTATTTGAAAAAAATAATTCTGGTTAAGGCTGTGACGAAGTACTTGTATTTCTGCTAGTGGCATTGTTAACGGGGTGTCATTTCTAAGGCATAAAAAGTCATAATTCATCATATCCTTACAATCAGAAGTGCATGTGTACACATGCACAGTTATCTGCACACAGCTGTCTCATTCATAGCAAAAAAGATAAAAGTATTTTAATGCCTAACAATGGGGAAACACTTAACTATGGTATCATAATAAAAAGTCATGGTATATGGTCAATTACAGCAAAATATGTAGAGTACATCAGAACTTGAGATCTATAGGAGATACTATCAAATACTCAACACTATTATAAAATACACTGACTATAAATAACTCTAAAATCACATTTTCAAATTGATAAAAGTCAGAGTGATGTAGCAATTATGTAAGATAAAGGGTTCAGTGAAATTTCTTAAAATGTATAGCAAAACTAGATTCTTAACTTTTTGTGTTACAAAATCTAAAAAGGATATTTACTCACATTAAAAGAGAGTAAAAGCTTTAAATCAATAAGCAACTTACTAGGCCACGTAGTATGCAGAGTTAGAAAGCAGTAACAGCACATCCACATCTCTGTGAGTAGCATCAATGAGGCTAAACAAACATGACACAAGGAATTAAATATTTTCATTTTCATCTACATTTTTTCTATAGCAGATCCCCTTATGGGGGGCTAGGGTGGGAGGAAAAATCAAGTAATCAATGAGTCCTGCTTCTGAAGTTAAATGTACACAGTCTATCCACTTGGAGATTAAAAAAAACAAACCAAACCAGGAACACAGTTCAGGAAGGTGGGAAGGACTGGAGCTGAGGAGCAGCCAAGGAGAAGGGAGGGTTCAGGAAAACTGGGTAACAGAATGTGGGGAGGAGGGGGAACTGCACGATGGTGGAGGGGGTAAGGATTGTAAAGACAGGAAAATATCAGGCTGAGAAGAGAGAAATTGTCTAGATCACCATCTCACATGACCTAATCTTCAAGTTACACTGCACATTTACCTTATGTTTACACTCATGCAGAATGTATCCTTTGAAAGACTTTTACGTAAATACAACATTTATGTGCAAAAATAGAACCAAGCCCAAACTATTTTGTTTTTTTTTAACTACAGATTAACTTACACAGCTTTTAGATAATGAGTAAACATTTCTTTATTCTAAGTCCACTTTGCTGTATTTTATCTCCACTCTCAAGTCAAATATCAGAATAAGGGTTAGAAACAGTACTGATGAACCATTAGACCAAATACTAATTTTTTTAAAAAAAGATCAACATATGAAATCCACAAATACTCAACAGGTAACATGGGCAGAATCTGAACTCAACCTTTTAATCAAATATTCATCTACTATTAAAACAGCTTTCCAATCAAAAGATGAAAATTAATCTGCACACTTATATTGGTTCTCAAAATTCCACTGCTGAAGTAGATATTTCTATCTTAGAATAGAAATACCTTAGAATTTCATAGCTATTTGCAGAAGCTGACCAAATGCTACTGGAAAACAATAGGGGGAAAAATGGCTAGTAGATGGAATTTAAAGTCACATACATAATCTGCCTAAGAATGAGGTCATTGTTTAACAGGTACTGCAGAGAAAATTTCACCAAGACCTTAAATCACAGTGTTTTACATCAGGGGCATCTTGTTGCACCATAACTGGAACAATCAATCTAAAATAACTGACCTCAATTTTCACCAAAAATAAGCCCCCCAAATACAATTAATTAGATTGAATAAGTCAGAACCCAATTAATACACAGATTGATCCAAAATACGAGCAATAACTTAACCAACCAACCAACCGCAAGAGAAAACCATCTATTCTACGATCTTGGCAGCCTCACCGAGAATAACGTAGACGAACAATTTAGTTTCGCGCATTGGTGCTTACCTGCACTCTTAAAACTGTCGCTTGAGCCAAGCCATAAAAATTACGTCACGACACGTAGTTTACTATGAAAAAAAATTTCTACACCTACGAAGTAGTGCTACTTTATCACAGCGTCTATTTTGACACGAATATTTACATTGGTCAAACATGATCTCAGTCAAAAGCATTACGTCTAGAAAGAAAAGCACTTGGCACGTCACAGGCAATCGAGAAAGAAGTCAGCCCTCCCCCCACCCGCATTTTTACTTAAGTATAAGCTGCAGTAAATAATTAATTTCCCTCCCCACCACCCTCTGCCCCACTTAAACAGAAATAAAAAAAACCTAACCCCCACAGACGAAAGAAAGAAAACCCCTTTCGGTGCTCCCCCGCCCCTCGCCTGCAGCTCGGAGGGAAGGGCTACGCTACTCGTTTTTCTCTTCCCGCCAGTCAGGCATGCCCTCCTTCCACACGATGAACACAAACACCGCCAGCACCACATGCAGCCCCACCACCGCGACAATGGTCGCGTAAAAGCCACTGTCATCAGGGGACATTAACAGGAGGCTTTGGAAGAGCAGCAATTTGCAGGAAAAATACAACCCCACAGGAACTTTAACCATCAGTCCTGCAAAAAGGAGAAAAATCTTGAAAGTGGTCGCCAGGCTGCCGCCTTCGGGCTTGGGCTCGGCAGCGTTACCGGCAGCATTGCCTGTGGCGTTCGCCTGCCGCTGAGCGGTTGGAGGAGGCCGGTGGGAGCGCGGCATCTGGTCGGTCGGTCGGTCGGTCAGTCAGTCCGTCAGTCCGTCCGTCAAGCAGTCGAAGCTCAGTCAGAGAAACCGGCGCCAGACCTCACGCCTGCAGCCACTGCGGCAACTGCAGCGCGGCCGCGCCAAGTCCAGCCCCCAAACACAGTGCACTTCCGCCGCCCACGCTCGCCGCGGTGTGCGCCCAGTGCGCAGGCGCAGCACGTCCAGCACCGCCCACGTCCCGAGGAGGGCGCGGCCCCGGCCATCCCCGAGGGAAGCGGAGGTAGGCTCTGGCCCCGGCCCGGGTCCGGGGAGGGTGCATGCACGCACGCCTTGGTGAAAAGCCGTCCCTCCTGCCCGGAGGGCCACTGGCGGGGGTCTGCGGCACCGTGACTAAGCGCCTCCCCGCACTGCCGCGCGCCTGAGACCAGGTTGCCGCGGGCATCGTGAGTCCACTAACACGGGTACCAGGAGTCAGCTGCTCTCAGTGTAAGAAAAAGCAAGTCCGAGTTGGACAAAATAAAGAGTGGGCTTTGTGCAGATGCTGAAGGGCACCTGCACGGTCCCCCGATTTCCTGTCACATTAACGATTCCTCCTCCAGCCACAGGTGCACCACGCGGCGCTTACGGGCTGTCACCCGAGTCAGCTCTCCCCGCGGCAGCGGCGGACGGAAAGAGTGCGGGACGACCCATGAGGTCTAATCTGTGTACGCCAGCAGCTGTCTGCGGGGAATTAACTGAGCTGTGCTCGGGGGTTTAACATAAAAAGGCCCGAGGGTGGGCTCCAGGTGGCTGGACAGTTCCAGCTGGAGCCCTGGGAGATCAAGGAAAAGGGAAGGGCAGCCATTCTTGCTGCCTGGGCAGGACCGAGCATTTATAAAGAGCTCCCCGTAACTGTTTTTCTGTCGTATGTTGAAAATTAAACAGGACCATAACTGCAGTGAAGTCAGTGAGGCGCTGGTTTCTGGCGCAAAATTTATGGGGGTGCCAAAAAAACCCTGACATCAACGAAAGTTTTTAATGCAGTATTTTTAAAAAATCAAAATTAATGCAAACATACCATGATAAACAAAACATCCAACATATGCATGAGACAAGTGTTCAGGCCTGGTGCACTGGGAAGACCCAGAGGGATGGGGTAGAGAGGGAGGTGGGAGGGGGGATCGGGATGGGGAATACATGTAAATCCATGGCTGATTCATGTCAATGTATGACAAAACCCGCTACAATATTGTAAAGTAATTAGCCTCCAACCAATAAAAATAAATGGAAAAAAGAAAAAAAAATCCAACATTTCAAATAAAGATAAGATCTGACTCTGCAACCTGTCCAACCCTGTCTCCCTTGTCTCATCCTGATCCCAGCTCCATTTCAGTGAAGCTTTTTTGAAAAAAACATGTGGCCCAACTCAACAACAAAAAAAGAAACCCAGTTTTTTAAATGAGCAAAGGACTTGAATAGACGTTTTTCTGAGGAAGACATACAAATATCCAAGAAACCCAAGAAAAAATTTTCAACATCATTTATCATGAGGGAAACGCAAATCAAAACGCAATGTGACAGTACTTCACATCCACTAGGATGACTACAATAAAAAACATGGAGGGAAAAAGGGGAAAAAAAAGTGTGGGTGAGGATATGGAAAAACTGGAACCCTCCACATTATTCGTGGAAATGTAAAATGGTGCAGCCACCAAAGAAAGTAGTTTGGTGGTTTCTTAAAAGTTAAGCATAGCAGCCTGGCAATCTCCCCTCCCAGGTGTACACCCCAAAGAAAAACAGGTATTCAAACAAAAACTTGTCTCTTAAGTATTCACAGCATCACTGTTTGCAACAGAAGAGCCAGAAGGTGGAAACATAAATGCCCAAAAGAAGAGTAAAAAAAACCATGGTCTATCCATACAGTGAAATACTATTCAGCCATGAAAAAGAATGAAGTTCTGCTATATGGCACAACGCCATGAACCATGAAACATTATGCTAAGTGAATGAAGCCACAGTCACAAAGGTCACATAGTACATGATTCCGTTTATATGAAGTGTCCAGAATTCACATATCCGGAGAGAGAAAAGTAGTAGATTAGTGGTTGCTTAGGGGATGAGGGTGGGGATAGACTACAAGAATTCTCTTTGTGGTGATAAAAATTTCGAAAACTGACCAAAATGATGGTCTTACAATTCTGAGCATATTCTAAAAACCACCCAAATGGATGAAATGTATGCTATATGAATTACATCTCAATAAAGGTATTTTGGGGCTTCCTGGGTGGCAGCAGTGGTAAAGAACCTCCCTGCCAATGCAGGAGACACAAGAGACACGAGTTCGATCCCTGGATTGGGAAGATCCTGGAGGAGGGCATGGCAACCCACTCCAGTATTCTTGCCTGGAGAATCCCATGGACAGAGGAGCCTGGCAGGCTACAGTCCACAGGGTCGCAGAGTCAGACACAACTGAAGCAACTTCACACACACACACATTTTTAAAAACTATACATGCAGCTGGAGGCAGACAGGTGCAAACTGCTGCACCCCCAAGCCTGAGGGACTGAGGCCACCACAGGCTGTCCAGGATCTGAGCCTGAAAAGCCACTCCCAGAGCTATTCGTGCTGTCCTCAACCAGGGGCCACCTGTTCTGAGTCCACATCTCTGACTCAGTAGATAGACTATATGAAGGCTCTCTAGCAACCTCAGATAGACCAACGGCAGATTTCCAAGCATCTCCCTTCAAGAGAAAAGGGAAACTATCCACCATCCAGAAAACCTTTAAGCCTTGCAAATGATAAATACCAGTACCAATTTAAATAAATTTTAGCAGTAATAGAAAGGATGATAACCACAAAGTATCTCTCATAAGAAGGACGGTTCTTAAAGAACTGTCTAATCAAGATGGCGATATCGGGACTTCCCTGGTGGTCCAGTGGTTACAAATCCGCCTGCGTTGTGGAGAATACGGGCTGGATCCCCGGTCGGGCAACTGGGCCCCCGCGTCGTAACTACTGAACCCTCGCTCTGCAACCAGAGAGTCCGTGGGCTACAACGAAAGTACCCCTGTGACACAACGAAGAACCCACGCGTGACAACCAAGACCCAAGGCAGCCTGATAAATACCAGGCAACAACAGAAGATGGACACGTAATTAACTTTGGAAATTCAAATGGGCAGAATACCTCACCTCTTAAGAGTCCAAAAATTGCATCCGTACATTCAGTACTATCAAAGCGAAATAATCCATGAACTGGAAGTCATGGAAGGACTCCGTATAAACCTATGATCAGTATCATTTTTTATTCATTATCATATATGTAAATACTCCCTTGCATTCTATTGTTCTTGCAAACTTGTTTTATGCCCCTTTTATTAAAAAACATACAAAATGTAAAAGAAGATAAAATCTAAATAGAGCCTTTTACTCTCAAAGCTTGGTTTAGAATTTTCTGAAGTGTTTCTGATTCATAATATTGAAAATGATCATTTTAGATTTTAGCCTGAAAGCAAGCAATCTTGTGGATAAATTTAGATCCTGCCATTCAGTTGATATTTTAAAGAACCACTTGAAACTGGATGTTTTTTGTTTAAAAAAGAATGTAGAGTTATTAGTTGGCCTATTTATTTTATGAAAGACCAGGACCACTTAACAACCCATCAAAGTAATTAGCATCATTAAACCTCCAGGTGCACTCAGTTCTGTGTATTAAATACAGTAAACCTAGCTTCTGGGGCATGCGGTGGGGTTGGGGGCAGGGGAGGACCCATGAAACAAGCTTTGTAGTTTCACAATTTGGGTTTTTAACAAATCAGATATTACATTATATTTTACCTCATTACTGACTTTTTAGTGCCCCTTTAACCAACGAAGTTGAGTGCCTTGTCAGCTTGCCTTCGTACCAGCCATGTATTTGAGAACTGCCATGCACTTCGCAACCATGCACAGAGCTTTATGGACGACTGCTAGCAATCATCAGGACAGCTTAACACCAGAAATCTAAGCACACGAGGCACCAGGACACCACGCCAGCTCACCTGGGGTCACAGTCGATGAGGGCCCAGCCGCCATGGAACTTCTCGTCACCGGGCAGCAGTAACTTCATGTAACTCTGCAAGAGCTGGCTGATTAGCTCCTGGTGGCTTCTCTGATTCTCCTTCTGCAGAGCTTCGTGCTCTTTTTCCTTGGTGAATATGGAATAAAGATCTTCTGTCACCGGAATGCCTTGCATCAAATCTAGGGTAGAAAGTGTTGATATCTATCATCGTCTTAGTTTACTAATACATTTTTTAAAAGCAAAAGAGAATACAAGACCTAAAACAATAAGACTCTAATTTTTAAAAATAGGCGTAAATCTTTGTGACCTTGGACTAGGCATGGTTTTCCTTTTCTTTTCTTTTTTTTTTTATATGAAACTAAAGTCACAAGCAACAAAAAGACAAACTGGACACCATCAAAATTAGAAACTTTTGTTTCAAAGGAGAACGCCATGAAAGTTAAAAGGCAACCCACAGAGTAGGAGTGAATATTTAAAAATCATCTATAAGGAACACGTATCCAAGAATATATAAAGAATTCCTGAAAGTGAAAGTTAGTTGCACAGTCATGTCTGACTCTGCAATCCCAGGAACTGTAGCCCATCAAGCTCCTCTGTCCATGTGATTCTCCAGGCAAGAAAACTGGAGTGGGTTGCCATTTCCTTCTCCAGGGCATCTTCCCGACCCAGGGATCGAAGCCAGGTCTCCTGCTTGCAGGCAGATTCTTTACCAACTGAGCTACTAGGAAAGCCCTACAACTCAGTAATAAAAGAATTACTATTAATTATTATCAGTAATAAAAGAATTCCTACAACTCAATAATAAAAAGACAAATAAGCCAATTTTAAAATGAGCAAAGGAACTGAACAGACAAGTTAACTTCTTCCTGGTGTAGGATGCAGCTCAAGGCTTATTGACAAAATCATTGTAATCCCACTCCTTACACATGTTTGGGACAGTAAGGCTAGAGGCTTCTGGAAGAGAACTGCCAACCACTGGCCTTTTATGGGGAAGCAATGAGCCCAGACTGCTACTAACTAGCCCTTCTCTCTCAAACTTGGAAGAGATTTAGCTTCAGGGTTAGGATGAAGCTGATATTATTGATGGTCAAAACGAGAGAGGAACAAACTCTGGGTCCTCAGTGACCTACCTGAATTGCTAGATCAATCAACAGAAAAAAATGTACCAATTTTTCCTTGAAAAAACTGCTAAAATCCAATTTTCCTATCAGTACATACTGTATCTGTAGCAAATGAACCACACTTAATTACACCAGACTTCTCAAATTCCTAAATTGCCTATGGGTGGGCCCTACTATTTCATATATAATAAATAATTAGGTTAAAAAAATAGGATTTTAAAAATATTCCTAGAGACCATATGACAAGCTATTATGTTTGGTTCTAGTCCATAGAATACTTTAATCCTAAAAGGTAATATTTTCATGGAAATTAAATTTAAAGTCACATTAAAAAAAATATGCTGTGGCATGAATTCCACTGGGCAATCCACCCTCCATTTTTTCTCTTAAATAATGATAAGAATTGGTTAGGATAGTCTGATATCCTAATAACCTGTTAAATCATGCTTATAAGGAAGGACAGTGTATTTGTCCAAAGCAAGAACACATGATAAACATTAGACCAAAAAAGAAAATAATTTTGTTTTATCTCTCAGGCTTGAGTAATAGGAAAACAGAATATGGAGTTTTTACTTGATGAGGTTTTAGGGCACCATATTCCATAATCCAGGAGCATCAACCTTGCCTTCTGTTACATGAATAACAAATTGACAAACATGTATGGAAATGAGCAGTTTCTTTTGCTGCTCCAGCCTAAAAAATTTGTCAGATTCTAATCTTGTAAAAATTTGATTTATCGGGTAAGATGTTCAATGTAGAAACACAAGTGTATTATAAAACATATGGATTATATTAATGAGACTGGTTACTGTAAAATGTTAGTCACAGAAAGTATAACAAATTTTAAAGAAAGACCTTTGTGTTCCTTACCTATAACAGCTTGCCTATAAGCATCCTTAAATCGATTCAGGTAATACCTATTTGCTGAGTTAACACCATCTTTCATAACTCCTGCTAACTTCCTTTCTCCTGTCCTTGTAAAGTCACCCTGTTAAGAAAAAAAGTCACTCTGACAATTTATGCAAACACAAAAATGTTCCTGAAGTCAATGTGGGTTTTCGATTCAAGACTGGAATTCTATAGGCTTTTACAATTTACAAATAATGTAATTAAAATATCTAGTAGTATTTGACTCAGATCCAAGCCTGTCAAACAACTAAACACGCTATTGGTGTTATCCACCTTCACAGTTAAGATGGTGCTTTAAGGTAAAGCCATTCTTGGCAGTCTGTAGAATATCTAGAATTTATAGGTCAAAACTTATATATAACAAAACAAAAAGATTTTCAAGCCTCCAACTGGTATGATACTCAAAACACACAAATATCTGATGTGAGAAAATGTGGCCAGTTCCCTAGAGCTTATTACAACAGTATTTAACCTGTGTATGTGGTTGTGTGTAAATACAGACAGAGCAGGTTTCCATACCTTGCTGCACATTACAATCCCTGTAGAATGATCCAATGAAGATTTAATTGTTTTGTTTCTCTTGGTTTTCACAACAAAGGTGTCAGAGCAAGTCCCTAGAGAGGTAGGGAAAGCACAGTCTCTTTTTTCCCCCATCCCAACCCCACTATTTCCATCCAAGGCAATCTTAGAAATAGGCCCTGTCCTAAAAGTGATAATTTAGGAAGAACATGTTGCCAATTGGTTAGGTCATCCACAGAAAATATTAATTTAGCAACAGGAATCTATTATGGAAAAGAGAGACATGAATGCTGCATCCAAAGAATTTTAATATCAAAGGAAAAAAGTATTCCTCTAAGTACCCTTGCATAAGTTTAAGGTGTACAATATATTTTGTGTGTGTATATAGTATTGTTAATTATAGTCACCATGCTGTACTTTAGATCCCCAGAACTTATAAGTGAAATTTTGTACTCTGACCAGTCTCTCCCCATTTACCCCATCCTCTGGTAAACCATCAATCCCAGTGTTTCTGTGAGTCTGACTTTTTAAAATTCCACATATAAGTGAGATCATGCATTATTTTTATTTATTTTGGCTATGCTGCGTCTTTGTTGCTGCACGCAGGCTTTCTTTAGTTTCTGTGCACAGACTTCTCTTGTTGGAGAGCATGGGCTCTAGGGGCCAGCGTCAGTAGCTGAGGCATACAGGCTTAGTTGCTTCATGGCCTGTGGGATTTTCCTGGACCAAGAATTGAACCCTTGTCCCCTGCATTGACTGGCAGGCAGATTCTTAACCACTGGACCACCAGGGAAGTTCAGAGATCATGCATTACTTGTCTTTCTCTGTTTGCCTGATTTCACTTTTTCACTTAACATAATACCCTCAAGGTTCATCCATGTTGCTAAATATGTCAGGATCTCCTTCTTCTTTTAAATAAATGAACTATTTATTTTTGGCTGCGCTAGGTCTACATTGCTGTGTGCAGGCTTCCCATTGCAGTGGCTTCTCTTGTTGTGGAGCATGGGCTCTAGGCACCTGGGCTTCAGTAGATGCGATTCACAGGCTCTAAAGAGTGGGTTCTGGAGTTGTGGCAAACGGGCTTGGTTCCTCCTTGGCATGTGGGATCTTCTTGGACCAGGATCAAACTTGTATGCTTTGCATTGGCAGGTGGACTCCCTACCACTGGACCACCAGAGAAATCCCAGGACTTTCTTCCTTTTATGGCTGAATATTCCATTATATATATATATAAATTTGTATGACTGCTTCCCTTGTCAACATCTTCTTTAGCCATTCATTTGGCATCAGATGCTTAGGTTCTTCCCAGATCTTGACTACTGTGAATAGTGCTACAATGTACAAGAGTACAGGTATTTCTTCCAGATATTGATGTCATTTTCTCTGGATATATATTTATAAAATAGGATTGCTGGATCATACATTCCATTTTTAATTTTTAATTTTCCATTTTTAATTTTTTGAGGAACTTCCTTACCATTTCCCATAATGGCTATGCCAATTCACATTCCCACCAACAATGTACAAGGGTGAGCTTTTCTGCCAACCTTGTTATCTCTTGCCTTTTAGATAACAGCCATTCCAACAGGTGATAGCTCATTGTGGTTTTGATTTGCATTTCCCTGAGGATTACTGACACTGAGCACCTTTTTATGTACCTGCTGGCCATTTGTATATCTTCTTTGGAAAAATGTTCAAATCCTTTGCCCATTTTAAAATCAGTTGGTTTTGGGGGGGTTTTTTTGCTATTGAGTGACATTACTTCTTTACATATTTTGGATATTAACCCTTTCTCAGACATATGGTTTGCGTATGGTTTTCTCCCATTCCATGAGTTGTCTTTTCATTCTGTTGATTACTTATTTTGCTATGCAAAACATTTTTTGTTTGATGTTATCCCACTTGTTTATTTTTACTTTTCTTCCTTTTGATGTCAGTCAGAAAAATTATTGCCAAGGCCAATGTCATGAAACGTTTCCCTATGTTTTCTTGTAGGAGTAAAGTTTCAGGTCTTACATTTAAGTCTTTAACCTATTTCAATTCAATTTTTGTGAATGGTGTCCAGTTTAATTATTTTGCATGTGAATATCTCAGTTTCCCAACACCACTTAGTGAAGAGATTATCATTTCCCTATTGACTATTCTTGGCTCCCTTGTCAAATTATTAGTTGACTGTACACATGTGGGTTTATTTCTGGGCTCTCAGTTCTATTCCATTGGTCTTTGTGCCCATTTTTATGCCAGTACCATACTGTGTTGATTACTACAACTTGGCAATATAGTTTGAAATCAAAAGTAGGATGCATCCAGTTTTGTTCTTTCTCAAGATTGCTTTGGCTGTTAGGGGTCTCATGTGTTTCCAAATCAATTTTAGGACTGTTTTTTCTATTCTAGTAGAAAATGCCAATGGAATTTTGATAGAGATTACACTGAATCTGAAGATGGCTTTGGGTAATATTTTAATACTAATTTTTCTAAGCCATCAACCTGGGCCATCTTCCACTTATCTGTGCTTTCAATTTCTTTTATCAATGTCTTAGTTTTTAGTGTACAGATCCTTTACCTTCTTGTTTAAATTTATTCCTTAGTATTTTATTGCTTTTGATGCTATTATAAATGGGATTGTTTTATTTCTTTTTTAGATAATCTCTATTCGTGTATAGAAACAACTGATTTTCATAGGTTGATTCTGTATCTTGCAACTTCACTGAGTTCTAACAGTTTTCCGGTGGAATCTTTAAGATTTTATCCAGGAATTTTTTAAACAAATGTATTGAGGTAAACTATTTACCTTGAGGGAAAATAACCATAAACCTAATTTAAACTAATTCAACCACTTCCTATTGCCAACAGAGGGAGTATTTAGTAACCAGTGATTGTATTTACATTTACATTAAATTCTGTGAAGATCAGCTTGGTAGGATCCTCAAAAGACTATGTAAAACAGTCACAAAAAGATAATAAAACATTTCTTCACCCTTTACTGTGTGTCAGGGAATGATCTAACCTCTAATGTATTAGCTCATATAATCCCACAACACTTTTTTTGAAGTAGGCCTAGAATTATTCCTATTTTATAAATGAAGAGACAGACAGAGAATTTAAGTGACTTGCCCACAGTCATAGAGCTAGTAAGAGGCAGGGTTGGGATTCAAATTTAGAGGAGGCAAATTATACTAGGGACCCAAATCCCACCAACAGACATGTTTTATTTTGTCTGTATAAACCAACTATTACATACAAAGTCCAGATTTCCAAACTCCCTTGAAAACTGGGCGCTCTGGCAACACTGGACCTCTGCCCATTAGGAAATAGCAGAAGAGCACCTTCCCGAGTCATCATACGCTCTTTCTCAGGCACACACCGCCCATCTCTCCCTTGAAGCTAATGAGTGGCCAGTTCATGTCACACGACTTGGCACCTGCAGGAATTTGGAAGTGTGACCCCTGCCTTACCCAAACATTCCAGAGTCAACTACGTAGACCTACCACCTGAAACCCACATGCTTTTCCCTCAAAAACCAAATTGGTTTTAAACCACACCCTGTGTCCCACAGAATGACCCACAGATGCTGCCTACAGATACTTACCTTCAGAGCAGCTGTCCCAGCATACTGTCTGCTAATGGAGTCACCATTGTTGGCCCACATTATCTGATAAATCCGATTGCATTTCACCGGTAATGGCTGCTCTGGGGGCATCACACCTAATTTTTTCAGCTAAAATGAATACATTGGTAGATAAACTGCAGATAAGCCAGGAAACCATAGCATAAAACATATACTGCAGAGAAAGGAAGCATATGCATATACAATTTAGCACCCTTCAGGAAATGTTTTCAGACTTTTTCAAAGTAAAGTACCACTTGAAAGACAGCTTTATGAACTGCTACATCTGAATAAATAGAATAAAAAATTCATACTGTTCTGGTGTTATTTTTAATGTGTAGACTCATACTACTGTACCTTTCTTTTAAATTTGGCTATGAAGTGAAGCTAACTATCAAAAAATCATATAGAAACAACAACAATATTAATAGTAGCAGAGCAGTAAGTGCTCAGTAAAGGTTAAATCTGGTGCCATATGCTAACAGCTTTCTAAAATAAATGATCTCATTTATTCCTCATAACAAGTCTATGCAATCAATACTCTTAGTACCCTCATTTTATGGATGAAAGCAAAGAGGTCTGGAAAGGTTGAGCTCTTTGCATGGGGTCAACATCTAGTATGTGGTAGGGCCAGAGCTTGATCACCAAAGCCTAGCTGCTTCAATGCAACAGAAGAAGACTCCCTCTAAGGACAGTCACAAGGCTCTATCAGGAAAACAAAACAAAACACCATGCTAGGAATATCAGCCTTGGGAATTCATTACCCAGGTGTTGGAAGGATGAAAGATCTAAAAGGAGACACAGAGGTAAGAGATATAATAACTACAGGAAACAGTTGCCACCAGGAGGGCTGGGGCACAAAGGGAAGAGGCTGGTTCTGTGATGCCAAAGGACTCACAGCCCCAGAGAGGGTGCTGATGATGGGAATATAACACAGGTTAACAAACTTGTCCCTTTTCCCTCCTTCAGCCTCGTAGTCTTCCTGGAAAGCCCCTACTGGCAGAGCCTGACATGGAAGCAGGTGGTCGAGCAGAAAGGTGGTGTGCAGACCCCATGCCCCAAGAACAGGCGAGAGGGTGTGTAGCTCAGAGAAAAAAGTAAATGACTACACAGTGCCACCCACTACATTATTAAATTTTGAGCCTCACATTTTTTAAATGAGTACTTAAGAAAACACCACCTGATTCAACTGATTTCTAGCAAAGTTTGTACTTTCCAGGTTTTAAAGCAACAAGAATGGTTGCATGCTGTAAATGTTCTATGGCAGTTAGATTTTAGCTCCTGTTTACAAGTGAAAAAATCAGAAATGAATCTTACAATCCAGTGGACTCCAAATTACCTGTTGTTCCATGACCACTCGTGCAATGGCAGCTTGGACCACATTGGTGCGATCCAGGCAGTCCATGCAATTAACACGAAAAATCCCTTCTTGTTTACATATTACTCCAGCTTGATCAACCCTTTTCAAAAACAGTATGGAATTACTTTACAATAGGAAATACTTAAAAAGTTTTCAAAACCAACAATTCTTTACAGTAGAACGATAACAACAGCAACACTGTTTATCTATTTGCTTGGAATATCATGTGGCAGGCATTACTGAGACCTTTGCAGACTTTATTGTTAATTTATACAATAACCTGACAAGGAAGATATTACCCTCATTTTGAAAAAAAACAAAATGAGATGCAGAGTGATTTTCCTGAGTCATGCAAGTACTAGGCAGAGCTGACACAAACCCCAGCTATGCTTTTCTACACATTTAAAACCAGAAGGCACTTTAAAACAACATCCTGTTCCCTGGTTTTTCCCTTCAAGCAGAAATGCATCTAAATGAGCTTGTACAGACTAATTCACTCTACCACCCAGGGTGGAATCATGAAGCTTGCCTCACTCATCTAATTCCTCTGGCCACCTGTGGCCTTAAAATCTAATCAAATGTTCTCTTCTGTCCTTTGAGCCAATTTCTCCTTCCTACTCCTCCCTCCTCCTCCTCTTTCTTCTCCAGCAGTTTTTAAATGTCTCAAAACTGAGACCAAATACCTCTAAGCTTTCCTTCCCATGTTAGGGACCAAGAAGAAATGTAGAGGACAGAGCATTAGAAGGAATTAAATAACAGCCATAGAGCACTTCGCTCCATTTTGCCAATCATCTGACACCTTCTTCCTGTTCAAAGCTAACAATACCTAACAACTAATACTTTTGAAAAGGAGAATAGGAATCTGGAAGTGAAACAAGCAAAACAAAAATTCTTTCCCAGCCTGCTATTATTTTAACACTTACAGTACTAGACAAAAACATATGATTTGACAGACCAAGAGCTTATCAAACTGATTTCTTTTGAAATACCTACCAACACCACTTCATGTCAAGAATAATGTCATGAATGGCATCTGTTAGTGTTTGGACATTCTCAAACTTCATTCCTCTGCTAAAATACATGCCAAAAGAAATAAAAACATCTTTAAGAATATTTTTTAAGCTTAAGATATGATATCTAAGATTGCTTGGAAAAGTTAAAATTATTACTCTAAATATGAGATTAATACTACTTTAAATTATATGGAAAATTATATAAATATTTACAAGTAATCTGCATTATGACAGAAAATATGCTTAAGAATACACTGAAACACATCACAGCCACCGGAAGCTTCTTTCCCCACCAAAGTTTTGAATACCTAGGTAAATGAACCAAAACTAGAGCCAGGCTTATGACAAAAGAAATGTGCTTTCAGAATACACACGAGTTAAAATTACCATCAAAATGATCGTTGCTTTCCAGATAACTAGTGAACTCATCCCAAGGGAGAGCATTATTACTAACGGAGTATGAAGACAGGCCAGCAGGATGTTTTAAATAAGGGAACGCTATTGCTTCTGCCAGGCTCAAACTCAAGGAGAAAGAAAAAGCTCCATTAATTAAGTGAAGGAAGAAAGGAACTCTGAGTCTTGAAGTCATTTTGGAACAAAAAGACTGAATATTTCAGGAAGAATTAACTTTTATTAATTTTTAGGTAAAATAAAACCAATATGAAAATGGAACTAAGAAATGATCGTCCTCTCCTTTCTAACAATGAGAACAAGATTTTCTTCCCAATAAAAAAGAGAAGAAAAACTAAGGTCTCTGTGGCAGCAACTACTACACAAACTGGACCTGATCAAAACTCATCTCAGGAAGCCATCTTTTTTTTCTCTTTCTTTTTTTTAAATTATGAAAGTATGATAACACATTTACAGGAGACTTGGAAAATACAGAACAAAGTTACATACAGTTCTACTATACATTATAATTCTTTTAAGTAGAGAAATTAAGATTTTTATTTGGAGTTTCAATATCAAACTCAAAAATTAATAGAATGAATATAGTTGACCTGAAAAGCACTATGAACCAATTCAATATAATTAAGATTTATGCAATTTTTCAGGAAGCCGTCTTACCAGTGCTCATGGAAATCAAATGAAACATAGGTGAGGTGTGAGTTGTTAAAGAGCAACACTTGCTTCAGGTAAGCATCACCAATTATTTTCTCTCTTCCTGCCTGGTCTACCAAATTAATAATAACCTGTGAGAGTGGGGAAAAACAAAAAGTTCAGTTAATCAGACCTGAGACTCATGATTTTCACTGAATTTATTTAGAGTTATGTTTTAGAAATACTTTGTACCTAGACTTAGAAATTAATCCACTCAAGCATCAGTTTTTTTCCCCTATAAAATTAGATTTTCATTTGTTACACTTAGGTTTATGAGAATTTACATCAATGACAAGAATAGTTTTACACATTACATACATGCAATAACCTGTTAGAATACATAATGAAAACAAGTTCCTTTATGATAGATATTTTAAATCTCTAGAATAATTTTTAAAGAAATATACAAGACCTACATGTTAGACACTATGAAACGTTGCTGAAACACATAAAAGAAAACCTGAGTAAATGGAGAGAGACACCATGGTGCCGGATGGCAAGATTCAATATTGTAAAGATGTCAGGGCTCCCCAGGTTAATCTACACACTCAACAATTCCAGTCAAAATTCAAACAGGATCTTTGTAAAGACTTGGCAAGTTAATTCTAAAGTTTTTCTGGAAAAGTAAATAATATGGGAAAAATTTTGAAAACCAATAAAGGACTTGTCTCACTGAAGAGCAAAACATAGGTTAAATCTAGTGATTAAAACTATGGTATGAGTGCAGAAAAATGAACGACTCAACAGAACAAGACAGATGGCCAAGACAAACCTATGAACACAGAGGAATCTAAGCTATGATGATATCATTTGCAGAGAATATGGACTATACTATACACAGACTATACTGTAGATACTATATATTACTATACTGTAATATACTATAGTGGCATACTATAAATGACAATGGGATAACTGTCTATTTACATGGGGGGGACTTAAGATAGCCCCTTCATTATATATAAAAGAAATTCTAGATGCATTAATGATCTAAATATTTTTTCAAGTTATAAAAAAGCAAGAAGAATGTTGGCATGATTTTTCCCTAATTGTAGGATGTCACAGGATTTTCCAAGCATAATAAAAATCAGAGAGCATAAAGAAAAAGATGGACAGATGTGACAACATGAACATTTAAAACCTCTGTGTACCAAATGACAGTATAAGCAAACATTAAGAAAAATAGAGGACTACCTAGGAGAATATACCTGCAACACAAAAACCATTAAAATATAGAGTGCTATAAATGCAGTAAGAAAAATACAGGTAAAGGATTCGGAAGATATTCAGAAGAGAAAATAGACAAATAGCCAATATACATGAGATTTGCAACTTTGTTAATAATGATATGTAAATTTTAAAATAGAAAACCAGTTTTAATCTATAGACAGGAAAAAAACGAATACTACAAATGGACAGCATGGTGAATATGTGGAGAAATGGGTACCAGCTCTTGCTGCTGACAGTATAAACTGGAATGATCTTTTTGGAAGCAACTGAGTGGTGGGTATCAACCTAAAGTTAATCTAATGTGTGATCCCTTGGACTGCAAGGAGATCAAACCAATCAATGCTAAAGGAAATCAGTTCTGAACATTCATTGGAAGGACTGATGCTGAAGCTCCAATACTCTGGCCGCCTGATGTGAAGAACTGACTCATCAGAAAATACCCTGATGCTGGGAAAGATTGAAGATAGGAGGAGAAGGGGACAACAGAGGATGAGAGGGATGGCATTACCAACTTGATGTACATGAGTTTGAGCAAGCTCCGTGAGTTGGTGATGGACAGGGATGCCTGGCGTGCTGCAATCTATGGGATCGCAGAGAGTCGGACACAACTGAGCAACTGAACTGAATGTTTGATCCAGCCATATCACTTCTAAAAATTCAGTCTATAAAGCACATACATATTTCAAATCATGTAAAAGATGTTCTCTGGGGAATTTTAGAAGAGCAAGCAGAAACTATATCCTAAAGGTCCACCAATGGAGAACTTGTTGAATAATAGCCATCAGCTACTATGTGAAAACAGTTGCAGAACAGTGTATATGGTATAGCTTATAGCCTTCTTTTGACTTAAATTTCGAATGCATATATATGCACGTGTCAAGATGTTTCTTTGCTGCAAATAACAAATCCCTGACTCAAATCTCATGACAGAAGTCTGTTCTGAACCTCAGAAGTCTGGAGGTTGCATGGTTCTGGAACTTCTTTATTCAGTAGTTACCAATACCAGCTCTTTTGTTCTACCATCTTTCACATATTGATCAATCCTCAAGCTAATGAACTAGCCTGGATAAAGCTGCAGCAGTTACCAGTCAAATCCAGACACAACCACCACAGAGGGACTGTGGGTTCCTGCATCTCTTTTTATTAGAGCAGGAAATCTTGCCTGGAGCCTCCCAGCAGACTTCTCTTCACATCAGACCTTGTTGGTCAAAGTGCCAAAAACATACATTGGCCCACACCTATACCAACCACAGGCAAGAGCAACAGTAGTGACACCATGACTGAGTCAGACCAACCATATAACCACCTCCCAGAACAATTACCCAAGGGATGAGGATGGATAAAAGGATACCCTTGGGGTACCGTTAGAAAGCAACAGGTGACTGCTAATACCTACACCCATAAGACTGATGTGTACAAACAGGTCATGAAAGTCAACAGGGAGCAGGAACAAGGGTGGTCAAGAGGTTATTTCTTCTACTTTCTTTACATACCTCAGTATTACTTCAATTTTTATAACAATTAGGTGTTACCGCTGTAAGTAGGTGATACTACTTATCGGCTCTGTTGAGCTTAATCGTGTCTGACTCTTTTTAGCCCCATGGACTATAGTCTGCCAAGCTCCCCTGTCCATGGGATTTTCCAGGCAAGAATACTGGAGTGCATTGCCATTTCCTCCTCCAGGGGATTTTTTGGCACTTGACTCAGGGATCAAACCCAAATTTCTTGTTTGGCCGGAAGCCCACAATACTACTTTAACTACACACACTGCAAATACATGAAATTTTTTTCAGATTGTAAAAAATTCAAATGTGGATAAAGGTCACATCCTTCCTGAGCACACCTAGTCCACAGCTTTCCCTGAAGGTAACTCCTGCTACAAGTCTGAAGTGTACCCTTTCAGGTCACCTAAGCACGTCCCTTAAAAAATGTGCATGCCATATGTAGGTGAGAACACACATATATATGAAAGAGAACTGCATATGTATAAATGGCACAGTTTTGTTTTGTGGGATTTTTAAGTGGTAACATGCCATATGCTGTTATATAGTTTTCCTCTCACTCCACTATATGATTTTAAGATATTTTCACATTAGTACACACAGATGGATCTTATCATTTTTTTTCATCTTATCATTTTTAACTATTTGTATTCAACATTTTAGATATGCTGTACTTTATCCATTGAATGCCTAATGAACAATTTGGGTTTTTTAAATGCTGCAATAAAGGAGGTTTACACATACCTCCTTGATTAAACACGTTTCTCTCAGGGAGATTTAAGTTTTTTGTTTAATTTGTATAAGAGTTATGGCTGCTCCACATCCTCGAGAAAACTTGTATTTTCATCTTTTTTATTTTAGTCATCCTAGTGTGTGAGTGGTGGTTTTAATTTTCATTTTCCCAATGATTAACAAAGTGGAGTACCTTTTCCTGTTTATTGTACTTGGACTATCCTTTGTCATGTAGAATCTGCTCAGGTCTTTTGTCCAGTTTTCTTTTGAGTTGTACAACTTTTATGAATTTGAAGGCATTCTTAATGTACTCTAGATATAAGCCCTTTGTCATATATATGTCTTCTGCAACTTTCTGAATTGCCTTTCCATTCTCTTAATGGTGCTTTTTAATAATCAAAAATTTCTTTATTTTAGTAAAGTCAAATTACCAATTTTTCATTATGGTTGGTACTTTAAAAATCTTATTTTAATAAATAATATACCACTTGTAGTGTTTTAATATTGAAAATATATAATAATTCAATAATTTTCATAAAAATCAAAATTTAGTAAAGTCTACTTTTTTATTACAGTTAGTTCTTTTAAAACCTTGTCTAAGATTCAAGGTCAAAAGGTGGTCTAAATGCAATATCTTCCTTTAAAAGGCTTATTGCTTAACCTTTCATATTTAGATCCATATCTATCTGGAACTGATTTCTGTATATAGCATGCAGGGCCAAAAAGCAAATTACTATACTAACAGGATAAGCATATTTCATTTTGATTGATAATACCATTCAAAAGTGGCCACAGCAATTGATGCTCCTCCCAGCGAAGTGCTGCTGCTGTTCAGTTGCTAAATCATATTCAACTCTTTGCAACCCCATGGACTGCAGCACACCAGACTTCCTTGTCTTTCTCTAGCTCTCGGAGTTTGCTCAAATTCACGTCCACTGAGATGGTGATGTCATCCAACCATCTCATCCTCTCTTGCCCTCTTCTCCTCTTGCCCTCAATCTTTCCCAGCATCAGGGACTTTTGCAGTGAGTCAGCTCTTCACATCAGTTGGCCAAAGTACTGGAGCTTCAGCATCAGTCCTTCTAATGAATATTCAGGACTGATTTCCTTTAGGATTGATTGGTTTGATCTCCAGCAATGTGTGACAGTTCTCATTTCCCCAGTTACCTGCCTTTATTTCTTCTTTTCAAACTTTATATAATTGTTTTCAATGTGAGGACTTCCTTTTTATTTCCCTGCTGGGAAAGTCTTTGGGACTGCAAAACATTTATATATTAATTTTGCAAGAACTAAAGTCTATTCAATATTGAGTCTTTCCGTCCAGGAACATGATATTGTCTTTCCATTTATTCAGGTTTTCTTCTATGTTCTCCAGTAGACTTCCCCTCCCAACACCCCTCTCCCCTCATATATATGCTATCTTTCTTGTATGTTCAATAGATTTTAGGCTATATCTTCCTGTTTGTGCTGTGGTTATAAAAATGCATCCCATGGCATTATACCTTCAGACTGGTCACTGCTAATAGATAAGAAGAGTCACAGATGATTCTATATTAATCTATATGAAATCTGGTCATCTTGTTGAAATTGTATTCACCCAACAGTTCTCAAATGATTTTGGTTTATATGTTCACATATCTACATATTGACTGTATGAATACATAAGAAAGGTTTGCAGAGAAGAAAAGATACTGAAGGATATTTCTAATTGTTACCTCAAAAGGTGGACCTAAAAGATGCCTTTCATGTCTTACTCTAGATATATCTCAGATTGTGATAACTGATAGTAGTAGACTAATCTCATCTAAAAACAGTCTAAAATAGCTGACTCAATAATTGTTAAAGAATACTAAGAATACTCTTACTTATGTGTTTCTTAACTTCATGACAAATGCCATTTTACTTAATTATGAGCTGTATGTTGTTATCTTCATTAAATTTAAACAGATGCACAACCATTTCTAAAAATATGAAGGAGCACTTATTACTACAGATGAAATCCCACCTGTTTTTTGTAAATTTTCAGTTGTTCTTCAAAATGGGCACAGAAATAGGCAACCGTGTCCTTTTCACCTACGAAGAAGTGATACAAAATCTATTTTTCCTTCCCATGTTTAAGACAGAGCTTAGTGTCTATTCCATCTTTACTCTTCCTTTAAATACTAACAGCCCAAATGTAACTAAGAATGTCTAAAACTAGTATTTTAAAATGAAATGCTAAGCTGAAGATTTGATTTCTCTTTTTTCCCCAATTAGACTAAACTGAAACATACTGAAGATGTCAACTATGAAACCATGGCATTTATTTATATATTCAACCAACTTGTCAGAAAAGGTTTCATGTAGTTTATAATAAATTAATAAAAAGCCCTTAAAGCAATATTAAAAATTAAAGTTTGCTGAAGTCTCATAAATATGAATTAAGTTTTGAGTGAAAAATATTCTGTAAACAATTTTAAAATCAGCCCCTTTGAGTAATCTAATTAGATTAATATGATTTAGCTATTCCAGTTAAAATATTTGAAGAAATTAAATCCTTAATATTTCAAACAACAAACCTTTCACAGCAAACATCTGAAAAGAGATTCTACCTATTCTGCGAAGACACTGTCTCATTAAGGTATTTCCTGCTTCCACACATACTGGCTATATTTACACTTTTCCAAAATTAAGCACTGTAATAAAGTATTCTTCAAAAAAACAACAAATTAAAATCTGTGAAATTAGCTATGTGATGTTCTACTTTGCAATTTTTTATTGTTAATTACTTAAATTGTCAGCAACCACTATTATTAATGCTTTTGAGATTATTATATCACTATTAAATCTTAGTGTACCAGCTACTGTCTTAAATGAACTATCTGACAAATCTAAACCTATGAAGTATCTAGGATTTTAAAAACATCTCCTCTGAAATCATCGTTTGCAAACCAAATAACTGACAGGCTTACTTCTGTCCAGCCGAGGTCTTGGATTGTATCTATACCCAACCTGGCTCCAGAAGACCGGCACAGAGCCTCGTGTCTGAATAAATGACAGAGTGTGATTATGCACATGAATTAACTGCTCAGTCTCCACATAATTTGCAACATTTCCATTTTTATCCACTCCTCTTCGCTTATAACGCATTCCTAAAAAAAAAATTAAAACAGCAAAAATTTTAAAAATTAGTCTGGTTTGGGGGAGAATGGATACATGTATATGGATGATCAAGTCCCTTTACCATTCACCTGAAATTATCATAATAATTGTTCATTGGCTACAGCCTGATACCAAATAAAAAGTTTTTCAAAAATTTGTGTCTTTCAGGATAGCCTTGGGGATCTAACATGCAACTGCTAGGCAGAACAGTATCAACTTACCCCAAATCATGCCTGCATTCACCAGTGTTTTTTTAAAAGTTGAAGCTGAGATAATGCCTGTGAACTGAAAGAGGAGGGTTTTCCCAAAGGTGCTCGCACTAAGGATTTACTACAGTGATATAGGCTGTCAGTAGGAACAATGGTATTTAGAAGCACATCCCAAGTGACTTTCTGCTCTTTTCCACAATATACCTCCTTTTCTTTCCCCTTTTGTTAACACTCTCCCATTCACTTCTCTCCAAAAAATTGGTCCCCAATTACACCACACTATTGAGAGTCACTGAGCACTTTGAAGCTGTTTTTCCAAATCCATTATTGCCATTAGCATTTCAATTCATCTGCGATGCTCCATTCTTGCCTGGATCTGATTTGCACACTATTACAGCCCTCCACCTACCTGCTCTGTGTCTACTTCGGCGTGAAATGAGAGCCACTAGAAATCGTGGGTGAATGTCATCTACACAGGTGGACTCCTGAGGCGGGGTCTCTGGGCTGCTTTTCTCATCATCAGATGACTCATTATAATTAACCACAAGCTCTTCAATCTGCACAAAACCTTGGATGATGGGGATGATCCAAAAGTCCACATCTCGTGTCTGAAAATAATACGAACACCATGTTATTTCTCTTCCGTACAGCACTGCTACTTCCTTAAAGCCAAGCAGTGGACATCACATACTTGCTAGCTTATTAGAAGCAGAAACCTTCCATTCTTTAACCATATTTTCTGCTTACTGGAGAACACTGAGGAAAGAAGGGAGGGAGGGGGCAGAGCCTTTCATTTCCTTTATGGTGGTCATTCAAGAAGAGCTGCCTGAGGGACCAGAGCATAGGAGCTAGATGGCTAGGTACAAATACAGGCACCACCACTCCCTCACTCAGGAGAATGACTTAACCTCTCCAGGCCTCCAGGCATTCTGCTTTGTGAAATAAGACAACAACTTCATAAGGTTACTGTGAAGGTTAAATGAGTAAAATATAAAATGCCTGCCTGCTTATAGTAAGGATTTAACAAATGTAGCTAGTACAGTTATTCCTGTTGGTATAAAAAAAGATATAGCTTAAAGGTTGCTTTTCAACTCACAATTGTATTAAGCCTTTAGTAAAACCAACTTTGATCACTTAGTTATGAAACACAAAGGTCTATTCTGCTTTCTAGTTTAGACAAAGTCTTGCTTTGTGCCCAGCTAAAATCTAAGCAGTCAATGAACCAAAAAAAATCACTTCCATAAATATTTTAAAAAGTCATCCAATGTAATTAGGTAAGTATTAATTAAAAGCAAAGATCTCCTCTTAGTCTTTGAGACTAAGAATACTCAGAGAATTTCTCAACTGACTGTATCCGGGGATAATAAAGGATCAAAAGTGCTCCAGAGAAGTTGTTCTTTGTCCCTCTTTCTGCCCTGTCTCCATATCTGTATCTACCCTTAATACATATCTCAGCATCAACTTCAAATCTACCCCTTTTTTTCACAACCATGTCTTCCAAGTCCCCTCACAGTTCTGTTTTATGGAGCCTGTAGACAGGATCTCAGGAAGGTGATTAGAGTTGAAAACAGTGAGGCGAAGGATCTATGCACATTCATTATTTTCATTACCATTCTCATTATTTGTAATTTTGTTCCAGCAATAAATGCAAATGAGGAAACAGGAACATTTAATCACTGGGATTCCCTAGCGGCTCAGATGGTAAAAGAGTCTGCCTGCAATGCAGGAGATCTAGGTTTGATCCCTGGGTCATGGAGATCCTCTGGAGAAGGAAATGGCAACCCACTCCAGTATTTTTGCCTGGAAAATCCAACGGATGGAGGAGCCTGGCAGGCTACAGTCCATAGGGTCGCAGAGTTGGACATAACTGAGCAACTTCACTTCACTATCTCACTAAAGGAAAATTGGGCTTCAACATTTCCAATGGGTAAAAACAAAATATCTTTTAGAGGAACTCTATGGATATTAGTTCCATAGCTTTAAATTATGAATGTCCTATGGGAACCTGCTAAAAAGATAAGTCTGTGGCCATATAGTTGAATTGTGAACTGCCTTAAAACAGTACCTTGGTTTCCCTAGCTAAATGATTCCCATTCTACAGGGTAAAACATTATGTGAGTTTTTAAATTTCTTTTAGTACAACTTAAAAATATTTGCTTAACAATTATAACTACCTTAGAATATTTCAGAAACAATTACTCACACCAATCTCAGTAAGGTCTTGTATCATATATTTATTCCAAAAAAATCGGTCATCAACCTGAAAAAGGTAGAAAACAAATAGGTCAGAAACATGTTGTTTCAGTTTTCCCACAGAGGCCAAATAGGTCCATAAATTGCTCTGGGGGCAAACCCTGCTCTGAGCTGTGAGGTGTACCTTTTGCCAGAGGGGACGGGGGTCCTTCTCTCCAGCACTTTGCCTCTGCACAGAATTGGTCAGGTCATAGGTCAAGCTATAGTAAAAGGATTCTGAGTCCATGAACATCTTCAGCAACTCCTCGAGTAATCTTCTCTCCAGCTTCTCCTTTTCTTTACTTTCCTTAACCTATAAGAAATGTATCTACTATTACTGCAGGAATTAAATGCAAGGCATTATGTGGATACCACACAACTCCCTAGGAGAAAAGTGAAAAATAATCCCAAGGATATGCAGAGACAGTGCTTTAAGATGATGAGTAGTCTGAAAATACGTCTCGTAGCAGGAAAGTTGCCCCTCCATTTAAAACTAATCAAAGATGAATTCCAAGCCCATATCAATCAAACTCTTACTTTCTTTTTATTAGGAGCAGACACATTGGATTTAATATGCGTAAAGGTCTTCAGTAGAAACTTGGAGTCATCAGGAGATGGTATAATCTTCTCTGGTTTGTTAATTCCAAAATGATGCTTCTTACAGAGCTACATAATTAGGAAGAGAAAGAGAATTCATTATTACTAATATCTGCTTGCTAAATTTTCTAGCATGAGTGCACAAGTGTAGCTACTGCTCAAGCATCGTGGTTAAAACCTCAAGAGCAAGTAAAATGACCAAGTAGTCCACTGATATTAGAAAACACAGCTGTGGTTTCAAGGATTAGAAAGCTCCAGCAGAGCGCAAGCCAAAAAAACAGGGCAGGATATACTTAGGGGTTATAGTAAGCTCTTATCTAATATAACTGGAGAATAAAATGCTCTGGTTGGGGTTCATTAATGCTTTAAAAACTGGCATCTGAGATTTCCCAGATGGCTCAGTGGCAAAGAATCTGCCTGCCAATGCAGGAGCCTCAGGAGGCTCCTGGATGGAGAAGATCCCCTAGAGGAGGGCATGGCAACCCACTCCAGTGTACTTGCCATGGATAATCCTATGGACAGGGGAGACTGGCGGGCTACAGTCCATGGGGTTGCAAACAGGTGGACACGACTGAAGCGAATTGAGCACGTACAGGCACACAAGATTAAAATTAGTGCAATAAACACATTTTCTGTGCTCTAGGAACATTTCTTTACAGCAATCTGTGCTAAACATTAGTGCTAGTTAATGGAGTGTTTGGGGTGAGAAGATGTCAAGAGTCTGCTCTATTAGGAATCTTAAAATCGACATTTCAACTACTCTTTCCCCTTCTATCCTCACACACACTGATGAAATCAACATAAAAACACATTCATTGGGTCCAGAGATTAAATTTGGAGAACCAAAAAGTTGGAGCTGCAGGAAATGAGCAGTCTAACCCACAAAGGTGAGGAAGAGGATGGAAAGGTTTAGACAAGAGAAAGGTACAAAGGTTTTAGAGACGACCATCTGGTTAGAGTTGAGCATTTTACATATAATTTCATGTGACTCAACACATAAACCAAACATTCTGAAGGGGACACATGGATTCTATTAATCATATGCAGACTAACACGTTTTTCAATACACTGGTCTTATTGCTGTGCTAAGTGGCAGAACCCTGTTAGGAGGTAACATTTACTATATGCTTATTATTAGTAGTGTCTTACTAACAAAATCCAACCAGTCCATCCTAAAGGAGATCAGTCCTGAGTATTCATTGGAAGGACTGATGCTGAAGCTGAAACTCCAATACTTTGACCACCTCATGCGAAGAGTTGACTCACTGGAAAAGACCCTGATGCTGGGAGGGATTGGGGGCAGGAGGAGAAGGGGATGACAGAGGATGAGATGGCTGGATGGCATCACCAACTCGATGGACATGAGTTTGAGTAAACTCCCGGAGTTGCTGAAACTCCAAAACTTTGACCACCTCATGCGAAGAGTTGACTCACTGGAAAAGATCCTGATGCTGGGAGGGATTGGGGGCAGGAGGAGAAGGGGACGACAGAGGATGAGATGGCTGGATGGCATCACCAACTCGATGGACATGAGTTTGAGTAAACTCCGGGAGTTGGTGATGGGTAGGGAGGCCTGGCGTGCTGTGATTCATGGGGTTGCAAAGAGTCGGATACGACTGAGCAACTGAACTGAACTTACAAAATAACTATTACTAGATAATAAACAGGATGAGAAAAACAAGGAGAGCAAAAACTAGTCCCAGTCTTTTCTTTTTCTTTAATTATTAATTATTTACTTTTGGCTGTGCTGGGTCTTCACTGCTGTATTGGGGGGGGGGGTACTTTCTCTAGTTGCAGTGAGCTGGGCCTACTCTAGTTGTGGTGCACAGGTTTCTCATTGTGGTGACTTCTCTTGTTGCAGAGCACAGGCTCATCCCAGACCAGGGATTGAATCTGTGTCCCCTGCACTGAAAAGTGAATTCTTAACCACTGGACCACCAGAGAAGCCCTAGTTCAAGTTCTGATAGTAAATTATCCTTTTAAAAAAAGGAAGGAGGCTGTTCCGATCAAATTGGAAGTGGAAACTGATAACTGAACCAAAAATTTAGATGTAATGCAATCTTATGGGTTTTATGTCTTTTTAAAGCTCTGGCTATCAAACACTCAATTTACATGGGTTTCACAACCTGACTACAACTTTACACTCCTCCTGGCCTACCAAGGGAAGACAGGGGAACCAAAGGGCAAGTAAAAAAGATCTACAGTCATCCTGCTGAAACCCGAACTAACTTAAATTTTCCTCCAAGGGTTTCCTGGGTGGCTCAGAGGTAAAGAATCCACCTGCAAAGCAGGAGCCACAGCAGATTCTGGTTTGATCCCGGGGTCAGGAAGATCCCCAGGAGGAGGGAATGGCAATCCACTCCAGTATTCTTGCCTGGAGAATCCCATGGACAGAGGATACTGGAGGGATACAGTCCATGGGGTCCCAAAGAGTCGAACATGACTGAAGCAACTTAGCACACACACAAGCAAAACTAACCAGATCATGACATGATGGGGAAAGAGAGAGAATCAAGAATATGGATGTTGCTCCAGCAATTCTCTCTGTTCCCTTCTTTCTGCCTGATCACTCGACCAGCACAGAAACACACTGATATTTCTCTCCTCTAACACCTTCCTGTGCCAGCTAGGATCCTACTTCTTTATAACCCTCACTGCCTCAAATTCCTCTCCTCCTGTTCTCTCCCCAGCCCACTGCAACTTGGCTTTGGCCCCCACCACTCCACCTTAACCTATCTTCAGTGTGACCCATGTGGTCTCCTTGGCTAAACACAATGGCGGGTTCCTGGTCCTCATCTTAACTGCTCAGTAGCATCTGACACAGCTCCTCTGTCCCTCATCCTCTCTGATACACTGTCTCACCTGACTTCCACTGGCACTCTTTTACTGGTTCCTTCCCAACCATTTCACTTCCTAACATCTTGGCACTTCCAGATTCAGTCCTGTCTGCATTCACTTTCTCAGCAATTTCGTCCAGTCTCCTGGCTTCAAATACCATCGACACACCAATCCTTCCCTCTCAACGGTATATTTCTAGCCCCGCTCGTCTCCCAAATTCTAGAATCACAAGTGCCAACATTTCAATTCCGATTTCCATCAGGCACCTCACACTCAACACATCCAAAACGAGACCCTTATCTTCCCTCCCCTGCCTTCATCTCCTGTGGCTCTCTTCCTTTTGCTTACTCCACTCCACCCACATCAGCTACCTGCTGTTCCCCACACGTCAGGGCTTCTTCCACCTCAGGGCCTTTGTTCTAGCTGTTCATCCTCTTCCCAAATGTTGTTCAGTCACTCAGTCGTGTCCGACTCCTTGCAACCCCGTGGACTGCGGCATGCCAGGTTTCCCTGTCCTTCACCATCTCGCAGAGTTTGCTCAAACTTATGCCCATTGAGTCGGTGATGCCCTCCAGATATCTCCCGAGATATCTCACCATAATCGCCACCCCTGGCACTCCACCCACCACTCTTACTGCACTCAATTTTTATTTCCAATAGCGTTGATTACTTTTCAACATAAGACATAACATAATCATGTTAATGTTTATTGCCTGCCCACGTTCACCAGAGACCTTTGCTTTATTGACTCATCTCTCCAGGGGCCTTAGCAGTACCTGGTACAGGAGGTCACAAAAAAAAACCTTTGTTAAATGAATGAATGGGCTCTGATGTTACAAATGTGAAGTGGTAAGCTCCAGATTCACACATATGTCAGAAGAGTAGTCTTGGTAAACCATCACTTCCCTTCTTCCATGAATACACCTCAGATCAATTTGACGTTGGTTAGCACAGAATTCCTGGGACAGCCAAGAAGCTCTGTTAGTCCCCTGTTGCTGCTGCACTTTCTTTTTAAAAAAAAAATCTGAAAACATGCCTCAAACCTAGTTATAAGTTATTACAATTTTAATATTCCAACAGAATATTATGCACCTGTCAGATAGTTATTCCTTAAGAGCATTCAAGCCAGCAAGATTTTCCCCCAGGAATACATCAAAGATGATTCTAACTATCTAGCTATTCTAAAGTAATCTTGTAGCAGCACACCTAGCCTGCACCCACACTCTCCTCATCCACAAGAGGACGGGAGCTGTGTTTCTCCGCAAGGCTAGCTTCCCACCGTCTCCCCTTAAGGGTCAGCACCTTGTCCGTCATTCACTCCCCTTTACTCTACTGAGAGCTCTCTACGAGCCCCTCTCCTACCACCTTGTAACACCACTGAAGTTTACTGACTCTGTTTTTGTTTTAACCATTCCTCAACCCTGAAATCTCTGTGCCATAGTCCTTGGAACTGTGAGGGTGCTAGTCTGACTGGGGCAGATCAAAGAGCGACGGCCCAATGCAATTCCTGAGGCAGAGTGAAACAAGGACACCCCCCCCCACACTCTGAAAAGGACAAGTCATAGAATGTGGCAGTAATGATCACTTCCTGCTGTCTCCTCCTCTGGTCCCCATGAAACGCATCTCCCTGGGCTCTTACCAGACCTCTGACTGTTCCTTCTCTGTCTAGCATCTCTCTCTCTCTCTCAACATGATGGTGGTTCCTGACGTTCCATCCTTAGCTCTCTGCCCATCCTTCATGTTCTGCTGAGAACGTTTCATCCCCTATCCCCTGGAGAAGGGAATGGGAACCCACTCCAGTATTGTTGCCTGGAGAATCCCATGGACAGAGAAGCCGGATGAGCTACAGTCCATGGGGGGGAAAAGAGTTGGACATGACTCAGTGACTCACACACACACACAACCTCATTTTAACTCCTACTATGTTTAACTCCCCATTTCTAACTCCACTCTTTTGCTCTGAGCTCATGACCCAAAAATACAACATTTCCCCACTATTGGCACTAGTCTCTCAAATTCAGCAACTCCAAAACTCAACAACGCCAATTCCCAAATCTTGTTCCTTCTCCCGTATGCCCTATCTCAGGCAATACCACCAACTTTACAACTTAAGCAAGAAACCTTCGAGTCATCTTCCTTTACTCTCTAAAGTCTCTTCTATCAACCCCAACTATTTCATGCTGATTGCTATTGTGTTAATTCAGATCCATATCTTTTGCCTAAACCATTGC